TTTATCTACTTAATAGACCATGCTGTCAACTTCTGTTACCGACCTATTTATTTAATTAATACACATCATATATTGTTTATGTATCATGTATTTATCAGTATCATATACTGTGTTGTACAATATGAGGGTTATAGTGTCGTTTATTTTTATTATTTTAATAAATTTTGTACTGTTATATACTTTTTTTTCTGTTTGTACTGTTATTGTTTTTTTTTATATTTTGTTTGTTAACTGTCATAAAAAATCCCAAAAATAAATCTTTAAAAAAATAAAATAAAATTAGCATTATGTTTAAAAATGTGTTTAAAATCTTCTCTTCATTAAACAGCTCTTAGGAAATATTCGAAGAAGAATGAAAATGTCACAGGAGGGCTAATAATTTTGTCTTTAACTGCATATAATAACATTATAACAGTATTTAATGAACCTGATCTTACTTGAACATTAATAAATAACATAATAATGGCAAGGTCCGACCCTTCCTATCTGAGCATGCAGCTCAACTCCTTGTTCAAGCTCTTGTTCTCTCCAGACTGGACTATTACAACTCTCTACTAGCCGGGCTTCCAGCTAATTCTATCAAACCTCTTCAGCTGCTTCAGAACGCAGCAGCACGAGTGGTCTTTAATGAGCCTAAAAGAGCACATGTCACTCCGCTGCTCATCCGTTTGCACTGGCTGCCAGTTGCTGCTCGCTTCAAATTCAAAGCTCTGATGTTTGCCTACCAAGCAACTTCTGGCTCTGCTCCTTTTATCTGCTCTCACTTCTGCAGATCTATGTGCCCTCCAGAAACTTGCGTTCTGTGAATGAACGTCGCCTCGTGGTTCCGTCCCAAAGAGGGAAGAAATCACTTTCCCGAACTCTCACATTCAATCTGCCCAGTTGGTGGAATGAACTCCCTAACTGCATCAGAACGGCAGAGTCATTGCTGTCTTCAAGAAACGACTAAAAACTCAATTATTAAATTAAATTATTAAAACTTACTAATCTGCGATTGCTTCTCTGGCTCCACCGCTAAAAGCTGATTTACACTTCTGGGTCAAACGCCGGCGTATGCTACGGCGCTGACGCATAGCCCTTCGCCGACGGCCATCGGCGTCGCTGACGTGCACCTCTCAAAAAATGTAACTACACATCGCAACAACGCGTAGCGCAAGCTCTGTGATTGGTCGGCTTGGTAGCGCTGAAGAGTCTGGGCGGGACCGAGAGCCGCGCGAGCGCCGCTAGCCCAATGGAGCGATTGTTTACAAGTTTGGAGTCCCGTGAAGGAGCTCCGGATGGAAAGTTTTGTTTTGTGTTTACCTCATAGTTAAAGTTGTTGCACGTCCGCCGGTTCCTGCCTCAAAATGAGCGAGTTTGATCCACTTGTACATCCAGGAAGTGTTCAGGAAAAGCAAAAAAGCAGCGAAGAAACTCGACACAGAGGAAGATTTACACATCACTGCCAACTAGCGTTTCGGAAGTGTTAATGCAGACCAACAGAGATGACGCGCAGAAGTATAAATGCACAGCTACGTGCGTTGCATGCGCCGTGGGTTACGCCAGTCACTTGACGCAGAAGTATAAACCAGGCTTAATTGTATTACTACAAAAAAAAAAGAAAACGTACTTACATTACTAATGTTTTGCTTCTTACACTTTACACACCTGAAACTTGCCTACAGCACTTATTCATTGTTGCTCTTATAGTTGTATGAATTGCTTCCTTGTTCTCATTTGTAAGTTGCTTTTGAAAAGCGTCTGCTAAATGACTAAATGTAAAATACATAAGGCTTGTTGTTTCCGTTGATTAAAAAGTATGCATTAAATAGCAATAAATGGAACCATTTTGAAAAGCATTACATATGATTGTTAATTCCAACTTGCCTGTATAGTATAAGAAAATGATTTATTGGTCATAAATAATTATATTTATGATAATTTGCATGTCAGACGCAAGTTACTATGTGACTTGTGTTCTGAATGTTTTGTCAAATGTAGCCTGGCATGTAAAAATAAGCATTGTTCTTGATGATTTACTCATTTTTAGGTGACATTTTGCTTCACAATGCTGTCCCTGTGGGAACGTGCTGTTCTGTGCTTTATTTTCCTCTGAAACACAATTCAGAGATCCGTTAGATTACCGCTTTACAGCAAAACACCTCCCTCCGAAATGACATTATTCCCACATGGCTTGAACTGTTAGCTACTTTAACCTTTATGCTTTTCGTTATCTCTTGTTTTTAATAATGTAAGTGCTGATTGATGGTGCAGAAACATGAATGTTATTTTTCTGCAATCGGCTGCATTGATGTAATACACAGTTAAACTGCGGTGCATGATTGTGTTGGTTTTTGTGGTGCGCTGCTCATCTTACAGGTGGTATCATGTAAACCGCGGTGAAACCAAAAGCTCCTCCTGAGAAGAGAAACTGCAGACACACCCTATTAGATGCACAATCATCCTTTGTAGTTATGATACAACATTAAAAAACTTTTAGAACTTCCTGCTAACATCAATTGAACTAAACAAAGGTGGATTTAAGACACTTTGGGGAAATTCTCAGAGAATACACAAGCCTGCGGTCATCTTGTTGTCAAATTCAACATTGAAAAACATGGAGCAATGCGAATTGGTTTGATGTCAAAACATTGCGGTATATTTGACATTCACATATTGATGCTCCTTTGACCACCGAAATAACGTTTCATCTGAAATCTTCAATCTTCATTTGGTTTTGTACCCAGTGTGCAATGCATGTAAGCAATCTCGATGTCAAAACAACATCAAACTGACATCTAAAATTGGCATCATTCATTCATTCATTCATTTTCTTGTCGGCTTAGTCCCTTTTTATTAATCACACAGTGGAATGAACCGCCAACTTATCCGGCACGTTTTTACGCAGCGGATGCCCTTCCAGCCGCAACCCATCTCTGGGAAACATCCACACACACACATTAACACACACACACTCATACACTACGGACAATTTAGCCTACCCAATTCACCTGTACCGCATGTCTTTGGACTGTGGGGGAAACCGGAGCACACGGATCGAACCAGCGACCTTCTTGTTGTGAGTAGACAGCACTACCTACTGCGCCATTGCTTTGCCCTAAAATTGGTGTATAAATATAATTACAAGACTGTACTGTAATGGATTTTTGACCAGTTTTTTTTTTGACTCCAGATGTCAAACTGATATTGCTTTGACATCAAACTTGTCAACTGTCATCAAATTGTTGCAAATCCCCTTAATAACCTATTGTGAATGTGAATGATAACTTCCTGCTAATGTCAATTAAACAAAACTAAGGCAGTTTTTAAGCATTTAAGACACTTTGGGGAAACTTTCTCAGAGAATTCACAAGCCAGCGGTCACGTTAATGTCAAAACAACATCAAAAAACGTAAAAAATGCAAAACGATTTGATGTCAAATCATTGACGTCGACAAAAAAGACGACACAAAAGTCTTATAATATACGTTTTGTTCATCTGAAATCTTCAATTACAAATTTAAACTGGATTTTGTATCCAGTGTACAATGCATGTAAACAACTTCAATGTCAAAACGACATCACATTGACATCTAAAATTGGTGTCAAAAAACGTCAAAAATACATTACAGGACAGTACAGTAATGGATATTTAACCAGTTTTTTTTTTTACTCCAGATGTCAATTTGAGGTTGTTTTGACATCAAGGTAGTCACTTAGCATCAAACTGATTTGCAAATTTCTTAAATAACATAGTAAGAATGTGAAGGATAACTTCCACTTCCTGCTAACGTCAACTGAACTAAACAAAGGCGGTTTTAAGGAAACTTTCTCCGAGAATTCGCAAGCCAGCGATCACCTTGATGTCAAAAAGATATTAAAAATGTTGAAAGATGCAAATCAATTCGATGTCAAAACATTGAAGTCTATTTGACATCCACGTATTGATGCTCTTTTGATCTTTTAAATTTACACTGGATTTTGTACACAGTGTACAAGCCATGTAAACAAACTTGATGTCAAAACCAATCAAATTGACATCTAAAACTGGCGTACAAAACAACGAGTAAAAAAATCATTACAGGACAGTACTCTAAAAGATTCATGATGTGTATTTTTGACTCCAGATATTAGTTTGATGTATTTTTGACATCAAGGTATTGAACTGAGATCAAATTGATCTGCAAAACCCCTGTATAATCTTGTTAGAATGTGAATGATAACTTCCTGCTAACATCAACTGAACTAAACAAAGACACTTTAGGAAACTTTCTCAGAGATTACATATAACATGGTCACCTTGATGTCAAAATGACATCAAAAAACATGTGAAAAATGCTAATTGATTTGATGTCAAAACATTGACGTCTATTTGACATCCTCAAATTGATGCTCTTTTAACCACCAAAATAACGACACAAAAGTCTTATAATATACGTTTTGTTCATCTGAAGTCTTCAATTACAAATTTGAACTGGATTTTGTATCCATACAATGCATGTAAACAACCTCTATGTCAAAACGACATCACATTGACATCAAAAATTGGTGTCAAAAAACATAAAAAATACATTACAGGACAGTACAGTAATGGATTTGTGACCATTTGTTTTTACTCCAGATGTCAATTTGAGGTTATTTTGACATCAAGGTAGTCAATTAGCATCAAACTGGTTTGCAAATTTCTAAAATAACATAGTAAGAATGTGAAGGATAACTTCCACCTTCTGCTAACGTCAACTGAACTAAACAAAGGCGGTTTTAGGGAAACTTTCTCCGAGAATTCACAAGCCAGCGATCACCTTGATGTCAAAACGATATTAAAAAATGTTGAAAAATGCAAAACGATTTGATGTCAAAACATTGACGTCTATTTGACATCCACACATTGATGCTGTTTTGACCACCAAAATAACGACACAAAAGTCCTATAATATAAGTTTTGTTCATTTGAAATCTTCAATTACAAATTTAAACTGGATTTTGTATCCAGTGTACAATGCATGTAAACAACCTCAATGTCAAAACGACTTCACATCGACATCTAAAATTGGTGTCAAAAAACGTCTAAAATACATTACAGGACAGTACAGTAACTCCACATCCAGGTAGTCAATAAACATTAAATCGATTTGCAAGTTTTCCTAAACAACCTAGTGAGAATGTGAATCGTGCATCTTAGTAGTTTTATTTTCCAAACATCCACAGGAATGGACCCATACAGCAGATGAGGAATATTATCTGCGCGTTACATGAATGAAATATGTGATCAAAAATGCACAGAAGTCTAGTCTTTGCCAAAAAGTCCAGCAGATTTAAGGCATCGTGCATATGTGCTGTATATAGTCTGGTCAATCCACCTGCGGAATCGGGACACGGCTGTATAAACCCCTGGAAAACGAGGATCTCCACATCCATTTCCCCAAGAGACCAGACCGTAAACACGTCCATCACACACCAGCGGCCCTCCAGAGTCACCCTGACACAAATACACAATCAGATGACAAAGATATTGAGTAGAATTTCAGATATATCCACATAAATCAATGATTCGTTTTATTTAATAAGTTTTTTTTTAAAGTTAGTGGTTGCAAACTATTTATATGAACTATTTATATTGATTGCAAAACATAGACTAAATATATAATATATAACATGCAATCACATCAGTTTCTTAATAAACATTCACTGTAACATAATCACACTCATACTTTTAGGAAATGAGGAATATGAGCTGGCCATCGTACCTTACAGGCATCTTTCCCTCCTGTACTGGAGCCGGCACAGATCATATTAGCGGTGATGTTTCCGCTGAAGGAGCTGCTGCTGTTGCACTTAAACGTGGAGACGATGGGGAGTCTGACAGTGCGCAGGGTAAGCGGGATCAGACCTCCGCTGTGGCTGGTGGAGCCCCATCCTGACACCCGGCACATTCGTCCTGCCAGCAGACCGGTGTTCTGTTTGGGCAGCGGTGCGAGGGACACATACCTGTTCAGCTCTATAGGTGCACTAAGCTGCAAGAAAACACACCGAGATGTCATCAGTAAACTAACTAAAACTAGCACTCTGTGGATGTGAATGAACTTTCTGAACTAATTTTACATCTCTGCAATGACTCAACGTATTATAACGAACAGAAAGAAAAACCTTCGCATTTCAGGACTCGCGCTATCCTTTAAGGTAATCAAAAATCGCTGCTCACATGGCCGACTCGTAATCAGTATTATCTTAATCATAAAAGCGAAGTATTGGTGTCCATGTAAATGTACTGTAGTGAAAGTGGCAGATGAAGTCGCAAGCTGTCAAAAACAGTCTATTCCTCACCTTTAGGTTGATTCCATGAGCGCTCACATTTCATAAGTTTGACGTGTTTCCCCTTACATGCTACTTTTGTAAAGCTTCTGCTTCACGTTGCTGTGTCAGAATCTTTGCTTGTGAAATAAAACCATACTTTAGACCGTTTAGTTTAAGCAAATTTGATGAACGTTATCGTGCCTGTTGATGAATCTGAAGGAATATATATATATATATACAGTTGAAGTCAGAATTATTAGCCCCCTTGAATTATTAGACCGCTTGTTTATTTTTTCCCCAATTTGTGTTTAACGGAGAGGAGAGTTTTACAGCACATTTATTAACATAATATTTTTAATAGCTCATTTTTAATAATGAATTCATTTTATCTTTGCCATGATGACAGTAAATAATATTTTACCAGATATCCTTCAAGACACTTCTATAAGGCTTAAAGTGACATTTAAAGGCTTAACTAGGTTAATAGGTTAACTAGGCAGGATAGGGTAATTAGAAAAGCTATTGTATAACGATGGTTTGTTCTGTAGACTATCGAGAAAAAAATTAGCTTAAAGGGGCTAATAATTTTGTCCCTAAAATAGTGTTTAAAAAATTAAAAACTGCTTTTATTCTAGCCGAAATAAAACAAATCAGACTTTCCCCAGAAGAAAAAATATTATCAGACCTTATGCGAAAATTTCCTTGCTCTGTTAAACATAATTTGGGAAATATTTAAAAAAGAAGGAAAAAATTCAAAGGGGGCTAATAATTCTGACTTCAACTTATATATATATATATATATTAGGGTTGTTGCAATCCTATTAATTAATCGTACGATACTATACCAGCTGAAGTATCACGATACCAAGTAGTGTTGCAATATTGCAATACATAACTCAAATTACAAAGAAAATTGTCAGAAATACTATATTTTATCTTATAATAGGTCTACACTCTCAGAAATAATGGTACATGTGCTGTCACTGGGGTTTTACCTTTTACCTAAAAGGTGCATATTAACACCTCAAGGCTACATATTAGTACCTAAAAAGTACAAAAGTGTTCCTCTTTAAATTTGTAGGTACTAATATATACTTTTGAGGGACCAATATGGACCCTTTAAGTACAAATGTGTACCTTTTGAAAAGGTAAGTGACAGCTCACGTATCTTTATTTCTGAGTGTACTTGAATTTACCTCATAACTCTCTTAAGGTAATACCTAAAAAGTACTATTTGCACCTCACTTCACCTAAAATGAATTCATTTTTTGTTTATTTTGTAGGTAACTGACCAACAAAAATAAATAAAAATAAAGATACAAATTATACAGAATTCAATTTGTTACAAAAGAGCTTTTTCACCAACAAAGTTAGGCTTTATGAAGAGGTCAAAAATTGTTTAAATGTTTCCTCTTGCTATTTTGGGTTTTTCATAATTTTTTATTTATTATTATTATTATTTTATTATTATGTTTAGAAATGTGTTGAAATTTTTGTCTCTCCTTTAAACAGAGATTGGGGGAAAAAATAAACAGGGGGGCTAATAATTATAACTTCACAAACGTACAAAATTATAACGTACAAAATCCTCATATTGTGTGAAAATCTTTACCGTTACTCACATTATTCCCTGCTTTGAAAAGATCTTTGGGATAAAGTTGTAGAAAGGCACAGGTTAGGAGAAGGCTACAAAAAAATTTTTGAAGGTTGTAAAAGTTATTTGGAATGTGATTTTCCAGCTGTATGACAAATAAAGTCATTATTTCAAAGGGGTATGATGATTTTAGGCACTGTATATATACTATTATGGCAGTTATAATGACATTCATGTTTATGACAGATTTATGACAAGATATGTTGACTTGATAATGCCAAGTTTTCAAGAAGTAGACAAAGAAAGGTTTTGCTGTTTTGGTAATGTCAGGCTGTCATGACAAAGATTATGATTTGTTTGTTTACGTGAAGTTGTCATAAATGTTTTAAAACTTTTGCATTTGACTTTAAAATGACATAGCTGATCGAACCACACTCGATACAGTTGTCATAAGCATAATTAGGTTTCTTTTTTATTGTAATTTTGTTTTCTTTTTGTGTGAACTGTCCCTTTAAATGGGATCTAATTATCATTCTTTCATTCATTTTCTTGTCGGCTTAGTCCCTTTATTAATCCAGGGTCGCCACAGTGGAATGAACCGCCAACTTATCCAGCACGTTTTTTAGACAGCGGATGCCCTTCCAGCCGCAACCCATCTCTGGAAAACATCCACACACACACTCATACACTACGGACAGTTAAGCCTACCCAATTCACCTGTACCGCATGTCTTTGGACTGTGGGGGAAATCGGAGCACTCGGAGGAAACCCACGCGAACGCAGGGAGAACATGCAAACTCCACACAGAAACGACAACTGAGCCAAGGTTCGAACCAGCGACCTTCTTGCTGTCAGGCGACAGCACTACCTACTGCGCCACTGCATCGCCTGTGACCTAATTAATAAGGTACATACAGCAAACCGAGTGTCATACCTTTATGAGCATAATATCTGCATTATTGGTGCTCCTGTTGTACAGCGGATGCGGGATGAGCATCAGAGGTTTAGAGTATTGCTCCGTCCCCTCATTTGCACCAAGAGTATAATCTCCAGCCACCACCATCATCTGATCCATCCTGAAAGACCAGCAAAAATACACCACCACACTAAAGCATCATTATAACTTCAAAACAATGTAAATATACACAAAACATTATGACCATCCAAATACTAATAATCCTCCACATGCTGCGAAACGCAACTTTTACAGAAGGTGACACAATCCTGAAGGCGTCCTGTGATGTCTGGCAGCAGAATCGTGGCAGAAAATCCTTCAAGTTCTGCTGGATGCCAAGTGTAGCCACCGTGGATCAAACTTGTTTGTACAGCGCATCACACAGATGCTCAAATGGATTGAGATCTGGTGAATTTGGAGGCAGCAATCTTCAACATATCATTCAAAGCGTTTAATGATATTGTGAAATGCATTTAGGGTTAGTTCACACACAAATGAACATTTACTCAATATTTGTTCACCCTCAGGGGGTTATAAACCTTATTGAGTGTATTCTTCTTCTGTTGAACACGGTTGATATTTTAAAGCTGAAACCCTAAACATTCAAAGTAGGAAAAACAAATACTATGGAAGTCAATTGTTACAGGTTTCCAGCATTCTTCAAAATATCTTCTCTGTTCAACAGAAGAAAGAAACTCAAACAGGTTTGGAACCACAGTAAATGATGGCAGAATTTAACGCCTTCGTGTGCTTTTACCCACGTGGGGCGTGGGCGGGGCTGTGACTTGCGCCGGAAATGGCTGCTGGACCAGTTGGCTGCCCGCACTCAACGGACAGTTTTCCATTACCCCTGTTCCCATCCCCTCTGTCTATGTTGTGTCTTGCCGGTGTGCTTATGCTAAGATAGGGCTGTTTTTCTCCCTTTTCTCACTTTGTCCTAATCAAGGGCAAGCTGAGGGGGTGTTTTTTAGCCTAACTGTCCAAATGTATCTTTCTTCGTTTCTAAATGCTACCTCCTAAGATCTGTCTCCCCTTAAAAGTTGTTTGTGATGTTTTGTGTATGGTCTGGGGGGTCCAATTTCGCTATACAAAAATGTAGTGACAAATAAAGGCTTGATTAATTCATCAGCAAAAAAAAAAAAATTTGATAAAAGAAAGCCTCGCCACCTAGTCGATATTCTGTTTCAGCTGGAATTACATCAACAAACTGAAATAAGTCTCAGCAACTTGATATTCCAGCCTGATCTCACGAGGAAACGTAAGTATTTTACATTTTGACAGTTCAGTGGCTAATTCGTACGAATTCGTTTGAGTTCAGTCGTACAAAAATGTACGATTTTAAAAAGGAGGTGTGGCACCCAACCCCACCCCTAACCCCAACCGTCATTGGGTGATAAGCAAATCGTACTAAATTGTACTAATTAGATCGTACGAATTCATACGAATTAGCCACTGAATCAAAAAGTTACGAATTGCCGTGAGATTGAGTTGGATATTCACGTACTTTAATGCAAATATTATTATATCAAGGCAAATCAGTCAACTGATTGTATTAATGCAGGTTCACAAACAGCTCAAATGACAAATCAAGCAAAAGTATATTTAAATATTGTAATGTACATTAAATATTCCACCCCTAACCCCAACTGTCATTGGGTGATGAGCAAATCATAGTAAATTGCAGGGATGGCTGACGTGAAACTGACGTTTCGACACAGTGTCGAGATCCCGAAGCGCAAGTGTTTCAAAACACTGCACCGAAGCATGATCCGAAACACCCAAGTCACGTGACTAAAGTGTTTCGAAAGGCCTGGTCACGTGACTAAAGCGATTCAAAGCATCGATCAGTTTAGAAGCCTTTCGAGACCTGGCGAATCTGCATGTAACTGGCAGGGTCAAATCCAAGTCCTGTCTCATGGCCTAGTGGACTGTGCGAGTGCGCGCTGTTAATATGCTTCCTATGACTTTTGGGTTCGAATCCCTACCTATACAAATACTCCAAAATCATGGTTTCATGTATTTTAATCATGTTTCTGTTTTATGGTGTAGCCTAAATAGGATACAGCTGCGGATACGCCATCAATATAGCATCATTTTTGTAACACTGTAAAACAATTATTATTTTTACAGTACTGTGATGGTTGGGTTTAGGGTTTGGGTAGGCGTTAATGAAATACAATAAATGGGAAATTTAATGAATAACATAAATAATTCTTGATAACTTCTGGCCACAACTGTGTCTGATCTAGCAACAACCCTGTTTTAAGACCAAAACAAGAGATATTTATTCACAAAGTGTTTATTCAAATGTCAGACCAATGTTGAAACAAAACGATACAAGAACAGAGCATTACCAACTGATATTAAAGCATTTCAGAATAGCTGTATTAGCCTGGATTCGAACCCTCTTTCCCCGCATGGAAGTCAGACACCTTTACCGCTCCACTAGGTCTCTTGAAGGTGCACATCTACAAAGTGCGGTGTAATACCTCAATTTGCTAAAATGTTCTTGCTGAAGCTGTTTCGGTGCAATAATTAAAAAAATGACCACTAGGTGTCACCGTAGAGTGAGGTTTCGAAACGTTTCGAAGCTTCGACTCATTTGCTTTGATTGTTTCAGTGTTTCATGAAGCCTCGCTTTGCCCACCACTACTAAATTGTACGAATTAGATTGTACGAATTCATACAAATGAGACACTAAATCAAAAAGTTACGAATTGGATTGCATTGGATATTCACATACTTTAATGTAAATATTTTTAAAAATATAAATATAAATTTATAATATTATAATATTATTATCAAGGCAAATCAGTCAACTGACTGTATTAATGCAGGTTCACAAACTTCTCAAATGACAAATCAAGCCAAAGTATATTTAAATATTGTAATGTACATTTAAATACAAAGCCATATGTAGCGAGTGGGGCAGCATAGTGGCACAGTGGGTAGCACAATCACTTCAAAGCAAGAAGGTCGCTGATTCAAGCCTCTGCATTTCTGTGTGGAGTTTGCATGTTCTCCCTGTGTTGGCGTGGGTTTCCTCCGGGTGCTCCAGTTTCCCCCACAGTCCAAAGACATGTGCTGTAGGTGAATTGGGTAGGCTAAATTGTCTGTACTGTATGTGTGTGAATGAGTGTGTATGGATGTTTCCATAAAATATAAGCCTTTAGATGTCACTTTAAGCTGAATACTGTCTTGAAAAACATCTAGTAAAATATTATGTGCTGTCATCATGGCAAAGATAAAAAGTCAGTTATTAGAAATGAGTTATTAAAACTATTATAATTAGATTATGTAAAATCTTCTCTCCGTTAAAAACAAATTGGGGAAACAAATATACAGGAAGGGTAATCACTCAGGAGGGCTAATAATTTAATTTCAACTGTATAAAGTAGTGGAAAGCGTTAAAAAAAAAAACACACATTTTTTTTCAGTAAAGTATTTTTTTTACATTGCAAAATACAGCGAATATGGATCAAGAGTTGTGCAGACGGCAGATCTATCCTTGATATCTGATTTCTTGACACTACTTATAGTTAGACACAGTGACTCTCTGTAGAGGACATGAGTTGAATGACAGTATTTCTCCTGTTAGCTGTGCCAAGCAGCAGATAAGCCAGCATTCATTAAGCACCGAGTGGTGATGACGGGTCAAGGTTAGTGCCAGTCCTGTCCGCTTTACTCTGGCTTTTCGTAAACTTGGCCATCGGCTCTCCAGTATCTATCCAGTAAGCCTCTGAAGCTCTGAGGTAGGGTTGGTTTTATATTTCAACATTCATTTATTTTGGATTAGTGACAGGATCTTTAGATTGCTTATTGATTTATATCTTCTAGTTGATCATTTGGCATCAAAAGTTAATTATATTAAAGGCAAAGGCCTCTAGATTACATTTATTTGACCAAAATAAAATATGATCATGCCTTGATTTTTAATGATTTCATTAAGACAGTAAGGTCTGACTTTGCTTAGACTAAAGTCTTGTCACTGAACAGAAATAATGTCCAGTATAGAATATAAAGTCCTGCTGCAGTGGAGACAGAATGAATATTGTGTCTGACTCCATCATGAGCTTGGAGGACTGCATCCATACATCTCTGACATGACTCAAATCACTGATTAATAAATCATCTGGAATGGACTAAAGAGTTTATCAAGATTCTTTAGATTAATCTTCAATGCCTCCTCCATCTTACCCAGGGCATGCTCAATAATGTTCATGTCTGGTGACTGGGCTGGCCAATCCTTGAGCACTTTGACCTTCTTTGCTTTCAGGAGCTTTGATGTGGAGGCTGAAGTGTGAGGAGCGCTATCCTGCTGGAGAATTGTCCCTCTCCTGAGGTTTGTAATGTAATGGGCAGCACAAATGTCTTGATACCTTAGACTGTTGATGTTGCCATCCACTCTCCAGATCTCTCGTATGCCCCCATACTGAATGTAACCCCAAACCATGATTTTTTCTTTCACCAGACTTGACTGATTTCTGTTAGAATCTTGGGTCCAGTCAACTGGCCCAGTCAGGACTCAAACCAACGACCTTCTTGCAGGTGCTAACCACTGAGCCACCGTGTCTCCCTAATTTGAGAGTCATTGGATGATATTATGATTTAACTATATAGAACTTCCAAAGAATGCTTTTCTGAAACTATATTATTAAGGAGAAAGTCCAAATGTGTGAATATAAAACCAACGTTACCTCAGTATCTCAGTAGCAGGCTATCAGGTGGCAAATTGAAAGAAGATGTGAAAATCACGCACCCAATATTGCAATGAGCAGCTGTAAGCACCCAGTACTTATGGACCAGTGATCCTCCACAGAAGTGCTGGCCCTTCGAGCTCTGCAATGACACTATGTATTTGATTGAATTTGGCGATGGGGAATATCCACCAACAATCCGGCCCTGGACAAAATCCAGACCTGTGGAGGAACATAAAGATATAAAATAGCTTATAACTAGGCCCACATGGAATCTGCACGTGCAGAATTCCGCAGATTTTCCGCAGAATTCCGCAGATTTTCAGCAGAATTCCGCAGATTTTCCGCAGAATTCCGCAATTTCTAGCCCATTATTAATTTTGTTTATTTACTTGAGTAAATGTGTAAATCTGAATTTATTCAGTTTTTTTTCAGTAATTTATTACTTTTTATTTCATATATTAAGGCCTTAGTTATGATACTCCACTAGATACTCCCAAAATAATTCCGCAGAAATCCGCAGATTTTTACTAAAATTCTCAGCAGAGATAGCAAAAAACGTCTGCAGATTCCGTCTGGCCCTGCTTATAACTCAAGGCAACATTGAAAGGACAATTGAAAGGACGGATCTCATTTACACTGAGCTCAAATTGACAGCTGACAAAATCAAGCTTGACACCACTGTGGAAGGACAAAGGTCAAGTTTCATTACAAGGGAGCGTAGATAAATAGAGCCTGATCTTTTCTGCAAACGCTTCTGATGGGTTAAAAAGTAGTCTAATGTTACTTATGATGTTTATTTTTGTTTACTAAGCAAAAAACGATTGTCAATATATTATTTGTATTACAATTTTCAAAGTGCATCAGCTAAAATGTCATTCAGAGCAACAATAGTTTACTGTAAGTAGCAAAAATATTGTCAGGCATATTAAGTGCAAACATTAGTTGATGACCAACCAACCCAGGCTCATCCTGAAAACATACCCCTATATACATTTCTGGAAAGCACCAAATAAGCCCCAGGAGCTACGTTTTGTTTTGTTTTTTTGCAGTTTTCTCGAATCCACCAGAAGCCGCTGTGTACGCTTTTGAGATCTCAAATTTTTGCCATTCATGCCTGCTGTTCTCATGTAAATCCACCAGAGGAAGCTGTCGGCTGACTGACAGACTGGTCGATCAACTGACCCACTCTCCTCCTTCCCAAAACCCGACCAACAGTTTTAAAAAGCAATTCAGAAAAAGAAAAGCCCTCGCGGCCACGTGAGTTTTACCACGTTTTCAGATTTTACCACATTCTCATCCTGTCATTTTATTTTTTGGCTTTTATTTTCGTCTTACCTGCTTTTTGGAACCGTTCCTAACCTGACTCAAACTCTGTTGTTGCTGTCAACTCAAGACCATCTCAAGTCCGCCAACATACATATCATAGTTACATACATAGGTACCGGACGAACTGGTAACAGCAGAGAAGTTGTCCAAACGGAGGTAAGCAGAAAAGGAACAGTGTCATACTGCCCCATAGCCTTCGTTTTAAAGATGAAAAGCAGCCATACGTAGCTCTGGTTACATAATTCACTCCAGAAATGTATAGGACTACGTTTTCAGAATGGGTCTATATTGGAAAATATTACTAATATTACTAGGTAAAATATTTGGTACTTAAAACAATTGTAATTACAATTATAATGACAAGGCATATTACACTTTTATTTTTAGAGATATGCAGTTGAAGTCAGAATTATTAGCCGCACTTTGATTTTTTTTTTCTTTTTTAAATATTTCCCAAATTATGATTAACAGGGCAAGGAAATTTTCACAGTATGTCTGATAATATTCTTTCTTCTGGAGAAAGTCTTATTTGTTTTATTTCGGCAAAAAAAAGCAGTTATTAATTTTTTAAACACCATTTTAAGGACAAAATTATTAGCCCCTCGTTATACAAAAACTTGCCTAATTACCCTTGTTAGGCATTTAAATGTCACTTTAAGCTGTATAGAAGTGTCTTGAAAAATATCTAGTCAAATATTATTTACTGTCATCATGGCAAAGTAAAAATATATCAGTTTTTAGAAATGAGTTATTAAAACTATCATGTTTAGAAATGTGTTGAAGAAATATTCTATCCATTAAACAGAAACTGGGGAAAAAATAATTCAGGGGGTTAAAAATTCTGACTTCAACTGTAGTTTGTAGCTTATCAAGGTACAGTTACAGAGTAGTTTAAGTTTACATGCAAGTTACGAATTGTTACATAAATATATAAGTAATTCTGATTGGTAATTAAACAGAATTTCATCAATATTTTCATTTTTTATATTCACATTTTATTTGAAAAATTTAAGCAGACACTTTACTTGTATTTAATGTGTTTCTATGTACATAACACTTTTATAATCCAAAATACTTGGGTTAATTAGGCTTTTTTCCATTTTAATATTTGGACAATATTATTTGTTTCAAATCATCCTGACATTGTTTTACCACAGAAATTAAAAACATCACATCACATTTAAAACTAAAATTATTACTGGTTTCTTCAGATTATTTAGCTTGTTTTATAGAGAAACTCACTTATTTTTTCCTTTTTTTTAAACAGCACAATATTAAAAGAAAATGCTTCTTGATTAAAGAATTTTTAGATATTTGGTCTAGAAACATGACAACAATTTAAGGTAAGAAAAGCACTTTTTTTTTTGCAGTGCACATCACTGACCTGAATACCAACTAAAATGAAAGCTTAAATACTGTACGAATCCTTTTATTGCCTGGTTGTTAAGGTAAAGCTGCAGACTGGCAGAGAAAGGTCGAGTCCTGATAGCGTTCATTATACTCACAGTTTGCTGGGACGAGTTTGAGCAGCACCAGAAACAGCAGCATGGCCATTGCTAACGTGAGCAAGTGAAGCGTTTCTGCCTGTCGGCTATAGACTATATCAACCAAACCTGAGCAAATCACATCAACACCGTTCCTCAAGTTTCCACAGTTCTGATTTCAGCTTTCATGCGGAGAGAATCAGACAGTGTACAAGGCTTTCATCAGCGCTGACTCTCTGACCTTCTCAATGCACTGGTTAGAGCAGTGGTGGGCAAACTTTTTAGACCCGAGGGCCACATCAAGTTTTGCAAACCAAGTGAAGGGCCACATGTCAAATTCTTTAAAAAATAACTTTGTAAAATCGGACAGAAACATGTTACATTAACACAAAACAATGATTATTTTTTATATTATTACATCAAATTTACACTGCTATTTACATGTACTTATCAATCATTATAAAACAATAAAATAATCCCTTATAAAATACAATATAATAATAATAACAATAAAAGGAAAAGATATTGTCTGATAGAAAAAAAATCATATTAACACATTAAAAATTATTCTTAAAGTTTATTATTCAGTCAAATTTACAATTATCTAACTTGCACTGCTTTTAGAATATACAGATCAACCATCATAAAACTTGATAAAACCAAAAATCTTTGATAAAAGACGTTTATAAAGTGGATGTATGCATGCAAAATATATGATGTATATGTATGTATGTATGTATGTATGTATGTATGTATATATATATATATATATATATATATATATATATATATATATATATATAAATATATATACATACACACATATATATTTATATACACACACACATATATATATACACACACACACACACACACACACACACACATATATATATATATATATATATATATATATCAGTTATTAGAAATGAGTTATTAAAACTATTATGCGTAGAAATGTGTTGAATCTGCTCTCTATTAAACAGAAATTGGAGAAAAAAATGTAACAGGCGGCTAATAATTCAGGGGGGCAAATAATTCTGACTTCAACTGTATGTGTACATATTCTCTCTGCTGGCAAAACACCATCAGATTTTGGATTCAGGATGCAGTACCAAACATTTATCACCTCAGTGTCCTCCACAAGAGCATCTTGTTTCAGAAATACACACCAGGTTTTAGTAATAATCCACCTCAAGGGAAGGAGAATCACCTCAGGATTCTCTGACAAGGCTTTCAGAACGGATTATGATGTATTACACACCACAACAACACCGCATAACGTAACACCAATCGTACAAAATTCACATTTGATGACTCGTTTGATTTTCAAACAACGTGAGGACGGGCATCGACATTAATTTTCAGATCAAATCTCACAAGAGACTATTGAATTTCCAGAAATAAATTCAGTGAGGCACTTGAGATAAATGCCAAACTCGTTCTTCTAGGTGGAGCTTCTCCCCGGTGGATTAATATCTGCATTTATACAGTCAATGGATATTGGAAAGACCTCGTTCACAGACGCTTTGTTTCCTGACACCCTGTTTGCTTTTTCCACCCAATTTCTCCATCACCTGATACCCTATTGTCTAATAAACCATTTTGTCAAGGTATATAGTCTATAGATATTTAATTTCACCTTCGAGAGCAGCACACTGTCTATGAATCAATGGCAAGGTTTTAAACACGACAGGATCAGACAAGAGGAGGCCATCATAGGAGCTTTTGGGTCCTGTGTGTTACCGGTTTTGTTCCAGAGAATAGTTAGTGTACAAACAAGATCGTAAAACCTAAGGGACAGATGTGGTTACACTATAAAACCAAAGGTATTGTTCGCAGGTTAGCTAGTACTCAAGGAAGCTAGCAGGATTTAGCTGCTCAGGATTTAGGTTTCCATGCTCAGGGTGAGTTTTTAATGTTTTACATTTTCGTTTCAGGTAGAAAAGCGAATATATTTTAATATTAAATATCTTACACGCTATTAATTAGCATTTTTTTCTTTTTTGTTTCATGCATAAGATACTATCTTACCAAAGTTGCATGGATATATACAGTTGAAGGCATAAATATTCGCCCTTCTGTGATTTTTTTTTCTTTATCAATTATTTCCCAAATGATGTTTAACAGAGCAAGGATTTTTTTACAGTATTTTCCATAATATTTTTCTTCTGGAGAAAGTCTTATTTGTTTTATTAAGGCTAGAATAAAAGCAGTTCTTAATTTTTTAAAACCATTTAAAAGTCAATATTATTAGCGCCCTAAAGCTATTTATTTTTGATTGTTTACAGAACAAACCACAGTTAGTGACTTGACTAATTACTCTAACATGCCTAATTACCCTAGTTAGGTTTTTTTAATGTCATTTTAAGCTGAATACTAGTATCTTGAAAAATATCTAGTAAAATATTATTTACTGTAATCATGGCAAAGATAAAAGAAATCAATTATTAAAAATGTAGTTATGTTTACAAATATGTTGAAAAAAATCTCCTATTAAACAGAAATTGGGGGAAAATATACTGGAGGGCTAATAACTAAAAATGACTTCAACTATATATATATATATATATATATATATATATATATATATATATATATATATATATATATATATATATAGAGACAGTTTTACCCAAATTTTGCTAAAACAACCCAGCATTTATTAGAGTTTATTTTTAGATTTGTTATTGTGAGATCTCTTTGCTCTAAGGATCGTTTATATCTGACAGTTCCACGATCACGCTTAAAATGTCGAGGTGATAGAGCTTTTTCAGTTGCAGCTCCAAGACTCTGGAACGATCTTCCACTCTCCTTAAGAACAGCTCCAACTTTTGAGTCTTTTCAGAGGTCACTGAAAACACATTTTCTTTCTTATTTTCTTTAGCTTTTAATCATGTGATGTGAGTTGATGTATTTTGGTTTTGTGTATATTTCCATGTGTTTTATGTGCAGCACTTTGGCACCCATTGTGGTTTGTTAAAAGTGCTCTAGAAATAAATTAAGTTGAGTTGAGAGTGTATTTTTCCATCTTCAGGTAATTTATTCCTCTGATTAAAGTAAAGTCTTTGAAGAAAGTCTCAAAAAGACTTTAATTTGATAAAAAAAAATGTAAAAAAGATGGTGTCACGCAGGGAGTAGCACGATCACTCAGGTCGCAAGAAGGTTGCTGGTTCGAGCTTCGGCTGGATCAGTTAGCATTTCTGTGTGGCATGTTCTCCTCGTGTTCGCATGGGTACTCCGGTTTCACCCACAGTCCAAAGACATGAGGTATAGGTCAGTTGGGTAAGCTAAAGTTGATGGTTCATTCCGCTGTGGTGATCCAAGATTAATAAAGGGACTAAGACGAAAATAAAATAAATGAATGAATGAAAAAAGCAAGAAAATGTCTGTTAAAATTTTGTTTATTTATGTAATATCAAGCCGATATCTAGTCTTATGTATCGCTATTATTGTATTGTATGATTTTTAAATATTTAAATCAGCTGTGCTTAAAGTTTTTTTTAGGAAGATGTGATATTGTTTTATTATTTTTTGGATAAAAGTTCAAAAGAACAGCAGGGAAATATAAATATCATTACTTCCACCTTTGATAATTTTTTTTTACATCATAGACATAACATCATATGAGTTACAGACATTATTATTATTACAGAAATTAATATTGCTTGAAATACAATATGGTTCATTATTGTTCTAAACCACAGCTCGGTCAGGCTGGTCGAATATCTAAAAAAAATTCATAAGCTAAACTAAGCCTATAAGTTTAAGTTTTTAACAGTGTAAATAATTTAAAAAACTTGAAAATACTATAGTAATTTATAGTAAACAATAGATTTTTGAACCATACTGTTCTGTGGTAAAACAACGGAATTGCAACAGAATTATGTGGTAATGCAACGATAAAAATAAACGTGTCCATTATAGGGTACAAAATTTTCTACAAAAATTATTTATATTATACTTATATTATTTTAAAATGCACAAACGTTTAATAAATCCTACGGTTTGAACAATACTAGAGCAGTGTTTCTCAACCACGTTCCTGAAGGACCACCTGCACTGCATGTTTTGGATGTCTCCTTTGTCTGTCACACCCCTTACAGGTCTTTCAGTCTCTGCTAATGAGCTGATGATCTGAATCATGTGTTTGGTTAGGGAGACATGGTAATGTGAAAAGCTGGTGGTCCTCCAGGAACATGGTTGAGAAACACTGCTCTAGTATTGTTCAAACCTAAGAGCTCACTATAAGCCACAGGAATTTTTCCTGTGGGCTGTTATATATTTTCTTTGAATTCATTCATTCATTAAATAATTGATTTATTTTCATGCAGTTGCATTCTGCACCATTTGTATTTGTTTTACTCTGTTTTAGACCCCTCAAACATGAAGAAATGCCTTGAATACACCTTGCTCCTTATCGTCTCAATGCTTCAAGGTAAACCTCTATATCTCACTCCAAATATAATAACAGGAAGTTGCTTTTCGAACATACAACATGGACAGTTTTCACATTTCAGGGTTTCTCGGTAGCAGAGGTCATCATAGTTGGATGATCTTAGAGAGCGGACAATGGGAGAGTACAACACCCTGCTGAAAAATCCAGCTTAAACCAGCCTAGGCTGGTTGGCTGGTTTTAGCTGGCTGACCAGCTTGGTTTTAGAGGGGTTTAGGCCATTTCCAGGCTGGTTTTCAGCCATTTCCAGCCTGGTCTTAGCTGGTCAGACTGGAAAATGACCAGCTAAATACAGCTTAAACCAGCCTGGTTTAAGCTGGTTTTGGCTGGGCTCCCAGCCTGGCTAGGCTGGTCAAGGGCAAATATATATTTTTGCAATTCTATTTGCTGAAATATTAAAAGAAAAACTCTACGATGGTGTAATTAAGACTTTCAGAAAAGAAATATAATTGTGTGAGACTGAAAACGGCAGCCAGATGAGAGAACAATGTCAAATTTACTGTCCATAGACGTTGCATTAGAAACACCTGAATAGCATAACCGGTAATTCGTTTTTTTTTGCAATGTGATACAAAGGTTATATAAAACATACATAAATACATATAAATATACATATGTTTTTATATTAAATCTGAATATTAAAAACATTCAAGGATTTAAGATGCTGATAACTGTTAAACACGGCAGCCATTTTATGTTTACCTTCACACACGAGCTCTGGGTCTTTCTCATTATTCTCCTCATTCACAGGCTCGAAGCAGCAGAGGATCATTGGAGGACAGGAGGTTCAGCCATACTCCATAAAGTACCAGGCCTCTGTCCAGTACAACAACTACCATTACTGCGGAGGAACACTCATACACCCGCAGTGGGTGGTCAGTGCTGCCCACTGCTGGAGACCGTGAGTACTTGCATCAATTCAAACACACCACAACTAGATATTTTAATCAACCCTTTCGACTTAACCAAGATAAAAAGAGTGCATCATACGTCCTTTAGCTTTTGTGGTGTTTAATATTATGCCAAGTAGGCTACCATGCTGTTTAATCTCTATAAACTGATCAGAACTCCCCCTCATAACAGAAGATCTAATGGCTTCCGCTACAAATACCACAAAACATACATATTATTAAACAATTTAATACTTAACAATACCATTTAACCATTAAAACCAGTAAATATTTAGTTTGTAATGTGATGTGGCAGATATTTAATTAGGATTTATTGGTTTTAACATGCCACCAGAAGGCAAAACCTTTTAGCAGACGCCAAAAGTAAACATCAGACGGTAGCCTACTTATATACACTAATAAAAAAATGCCAAACAATTCCTTCATGTTGTCCCAACACAAATTGATAAAGTTTACTTAATTGTTTATTCAAACGTAAGTGGATTAAACACAAAACAATTAAGTTGTCCCAAAAAATGCTCAAGAATTGTGTTGATTCAGCTCATTTTAAACAAGTAGTTTTTTTTCTTGTTTTTGCTTTTACGCTCACAGTTGTATATTGGTTATATCCGTGCCTAATTTCAGATAATAAGATGTTTAGTTTCTTATAAATTTTTAAAATATGGATGTCTTCAGTCCAGACTGTAGTTTACAGCATTATTTTGTAAAATATTGGCTTTAATGTGTTCCCAATGGGCTCCATGATACCCAAACGACATCAAATCGACATCAAGCATGTCAAAAACGCAGTATCACTGACTAGAAGTTACACTGCAACTACAAGCTGCCAACAAATTGTCATTAGAGAATAAGAAGACTGTCTGCTTAATATCTGCTGACACTGCTCCACCAACAGACAATCTTCATAACTTTGCAAGTACATGTGAATTTACACTAATCCTTACCCTAACCTTACACTCTACTATTACTCTAATGAGAATTCATTGACTTGTTGACTAGCTCAACTTGCGGTCTGTGTGGGTCCTAACGCCCCAGTATAGTGAAGGGGACTCTATACTGCTTAGTGAGCACCGTCCTTCGGATGAGACATTATATCGAGGTTCTTAAAAATCGCAGGATGTCCTTTGAAAAAAGAGTAGGGGTTTAACCCCAGGATCCTGGCTAAATTTGCCAACTGGCCTCTGTCCATCATGGCCTCCTAACCCTCCCCATATCCAACACAATCTCACGGCAATTCGTAACGTTTTGATTTAGTGGCTAATTCGTATGAATTCGTACGATCTAATTTGTACAATTTAGTACGATTTGCTCACCCCCCAATGACGGTTGGGTTTAGGGGTGGGGTTAGGTGCCACGCCTCCTTTTTAAAATCATACAATTTCGTACGACTGAACTCATCCAAATTTGTACAAATTAGCCACTAAACAGGAAAAACGTACTTACGTTTTCTCGTGAGATCAGGCTGCCCAATCATAATTGGCTTCATCATTCTGTCTCCTCTCCACCAATCAGCTGGTGTGTGGTGTGCGGTCTTGCGCAATATGGCTGCCGTCATGTCATCCAGGTGGATGCTGCACACTAGTGGTGGATGAGGAGATTCCCCCCAACATGTAAAGCACTTTGAGTATCCAGAAAAGCCCTACATAAATGTAAGGAATTATTATTATTATGAATATGTCACAACTCAACAAGAAGATAGAGTGTACATGTGGTAGGCCGACACAGACTTTACTGTATGCAATATTGTTGGTTTCTGTTGTCTCTGTTTACAGGAGCTATTTAATCAAAGTGGTGTTAAGTGAACATGACCTCTCTAAAATCGAGGGCTTTGAGCGGGTGTTCAATGTGTCCAAGGCCCTGGTGCATTACATGTACAATTACAGGACGTTTGATAGTGACATCATGCTTCTGAAAGTGAGTTCATCAAGCATCAAATCGATAAATGCAAAAAGTATTATTATTATTATTATGATTATTATTATCACTACTCTTTACTTTTTGGAAAATATTACATCTACAGTGCATCTGGAAAGTATTGATAGTGCTCGACTTTTTCCATTTTTTTTTAAAAATGTTACAGCCTTATTTCAAAATGGATTAAATTCATTTATTTCCTCAACATTGTACACATAATCCCCCATAATGGCAATGTGAAAAAAAGAGTTTTTGAAATAGTTGCAAATTTATTACAAATAAAAAACCTAAAAAAATCAGATGTACATCAGTATTCACAGCCTTTGCTCAATACTTTGTTGATGCAGCTTTGGCAGCAATTACAGCCTCAAGTCTTTTTGAATATGACGCCACAAGCTTAGCCCACCTGTCTTTGGGAATTTTTTTGATCTCTTCAGAGATGTTCAATAGGATTTAGGTCTGGGCTCTGGCTGGGCCACTCAAGGACATTCACCGAATTGTTGTAAAGCCACTCCATTGATATAGCGGCGACGTGCTTGGCGTCATTGTCCTGCTGGAAGATGAACCATCAGCCCAGTCTGAGGTGAAGACCGCTCTGAAGCAGGTTTTCATTTGGGATGTCTCTGTACATTGCTGCAATCATCTTTCCCTCTATCCTGACTAGTCTTCCAGTTCCTGTTGCTGAAAAACATCCCCACAGCATGATGCTGCCACCAGCATGCTTCACTGTAGGGATGGTATTAGCCTGGTGATGAGCGCTGCCTGGTTTTCTCCAGATGTAACGCCTGGCATTCACTCCAAAGAGTTCAACTTTAGTCTCATCAGACCAGAGAATTTGGTTTCTTATAGTCTGAGAGTCCTTCAGATGCAAACTCCAGGCAGGGAGTGTCTTCCATCTGGCCACTCTACCAAACAGGCCTGATTGGTGGATTGCTGCACAGATGGTTGTCCTTCTGTAAGGTTCTCCAGAAGAACGCTGGAGCTCAGACAGAGTGACCATCAGGTTATTGATCACCTCCCCGACTAAGGCCCTTCTCCCCTGATCATTCAGCTTAGATGGCTGGACAGCTCTAGGAAGAGTCCTGGTGGTTGCAAACATCTTCCACTTATGAATGATGGAGGCCGCTGTGCTCATTGGAACTTTCAGAGCAGCAGACATTTTTCTGTAACCTTCCCCAGACAATCTTGTCTCGGAGGTCTACAGACAATTCCTTTGTCTTCATGCTTGGTTTGTGCTGTCAACCCTGGGACCTTATATAGACAGGTGAATGCCTTTTTAAATCATGTCCAATCAGCTGAATAGACCACAGGTGAACTCCAATGAAGCTGCTAAAACATCTCAAGGATGATCAGTGGAAGCAGAATGTACCTGAGCTCAATTTAGAGCTTGACGGCAAAGGCTGTGAATACTGATGTACATCTGATTTTTCAGCTTTTTTTATTTCTAATAAATTTGAAACAATTTCTTTCCAGATGCTCTGTAGATTTCTGTCCTCTAATACAAATCAGAATTTCAGCATCATTACTCCAGTCTTCAGTGTTGATTTATTAAATTATTATTACTGTTAGCATGTAGTTATTAAATGATTATAAATGTTGAATATGCAGTTAATAATGTATGTGTTTGTGTGGTTCAGTTGGAGAAGCCAGCAGAGCTAAGTGCCACCATCCAGCCAGCTGTGCTGCCGGTCTCCGTCCCGGCTCTACAGGGCGGCACAGTGTGCATCGTGAGCGGCTGGGGCGTCACTCAGGTTTACAGCTATTACCTGTCGCCCGTCCTGCGAGCCGTGGATGTCCAGATCATCCCGCAGTGCCAGTACTATTACTACTACAGGATCACAGACAACATGGTGTGCGCCGGCTCCCCGCTGGGCGGAAAAGACTCCTGCCAGGTAAAGCCTTTAGGGTTTTTATTGTGACACTGAAGAGGATGGTGTTCACACCAAGGTTACTTGCATTAACAAAAGCTCAAATTAAAAGTGTTGGCCAAACATTTTCATTAACTGAATAATAATAATAATAATAATAAATTGAAAAATGAACTGATATAACATTATAATTAAACAAATCCTTGCTTTAGTTTACAAACTAAAGGAAATGAACTGTGATAATGTGAGATCTGTTGAAGGTTTTGGTTTGATTCTGCTAAAACGAACAGTCTCACGTGTTGGTCTGTGTTTGTCTGCAGGGCGATTCTGGCGGGCCGCTCATCTGTAATGGTTATTTTGAGGGCATCGTGTCCTGGGGCATCAGCTGTGCCAACGCTTATTTTCCTGGGGTCTACACCAAAGTCCGCAACTACATTCCCTGGATGACCTGGATAATCGACAACGACACCAGCTAGAATGTTGTTTCCAATGGTTGTTGAAGTGCGGTACTGTTAAAAATACCACCAGATGGTTGTAAGGATACTCAATAAGATGGTCAAAGTCTGTTAGATAAAATAGGAGAATCAAATATACACAGTTGAAGTCAGAATTATTAACGCTACTGTGAATTTGTTTGTCTTTTTCAAATATTTCTTAAATTGTGTTTAACAGTCTTATTTGTTTTATTTCGGCTAGAATAAAAGCAGTTTGTATTTATTTAACAACCATTTAAAGGTCAAAAAGTCATCATTACAAAGATAAAAGAAATTATTAGAAATGAGTTATTAAAACTATTATGTTTAGAAAAGTGTTGAAAAAAAGTCTTCTCTATTAAACAGAAATTGGGGAATAAAATACGGCTAATAGTTCTGACCAACTATGTCTATATATATATATATATATATATATATATATATAATTTTCAGTACAAGCCTACAATAAGTTCTCATTTATAAACATTAGGAATGACATATTTTGATGTATTTTGTAAGCGTTCTGTCATTGACTTGTTTTCAACATGTCTGAAAATCTTTCTTCTGTTGAACAGTTTGAAGAATCTCAGAAATCGGTAGCCATTGTCTTATAGTATCTTTCCTATGAATCCCATTCTTTCCTATGAATGTCAATGGCTACCCCTTTCCAACATTCTTCTAAATAACATACATGTTTTTTTTTTTTTACAGAAAACAAGAAACTCAATCTGGCTTAAATGTTTAAGGAAATGATGAATAAATTATCAATTTCAAGAATGAAAATTTCCTAATTATGTACTCACCCTCAAGTGGTTCCAAACCTTTTTGCGTTTCTTTCTTCTGTTGAACACACAAGAAGATGTCTCGAAGAAAGCTGAAAACCTGTAACCATTGACTTCAATATAGAAATAAGTAATAGAAAAACAAATTCACAATTCTACCTGTATTTCCAGCCTGATTTTACGAGAAACCTAACTATTTTACGTTTTGTCAATTTAGTGGCTAATTCGTATGGTTCAGTCATACGAAAATGTACGATTTTTTAAAAGGAGGCATTGCAAACCACACCCCTAAACCCAACCAACATTGGAGGATGATTTTATAGCCATCCAAAAAAAAAGAGAAAAGCCCTTGCTGCAGCCTGATTTTCACCACGTTTTCAGATTTTACCACATTCTCACCCTGTTATTTACTTGTTTATTTTATCTTTTAGCTTTTGCTTTTGTCTTACCTGCTTTCTGGAACCATTCTTTACCAGACTCAAACCCCTTTAGAGTCAACAGAGTGTAAAAATCTTGATTGTTCTGTGGGTCTCGTCTATCAAATCTGATCTTTATTTTGTATTCTACATTGGATTCAGATCAGGTGATTGGCTGGGCCATTCTATAGCTTGATTTTCTTTCTCTAAAAAGCATTTGAGAGTTTCCTTGGCTGTGTTTTGATCATTGTCTTGCTGCTAATGTGGATGTTGGACTGAAGCAGCTGATAATCACTTACACTGAGGAAGGGCAGAGGCTTGCTGAAGAACTACTAAGAGATGTCAGCTGCTGTCTGGGCCTTCACTACCTTTCTACAACTCCCTTTTTTTCATGTGTTCAATACTTTTTCCCGGTGTCATTTCATTTTATGACACAGAACTTCATTTGTAAACTAAATAGTTCTGTTTTCTTTGCATATATGGATTTCTTAGGTTGTTACCAACATCCAATGAACATTTCACGTGAACAGCACCTTTAGAAATATGTTTTCTGAAAACAATGCTGACACTTATACATATAGTGTTACCCTATTTCTCAAACAAGAATTTCAAATGTATTTATGAATGTAATCAGAACAGGTTATGAATTTCAGAAACTTTCAGTTGTGGTTAAATTCACATTCATATCGACACAATATTTAATTCCTCCATTTAAAACCCTTTTATTGTTAATGTCATTTCAAGGCGGGAGAGCGTGAAAGCATAAACGGCGCAGTTGGCCTATTAATCTCCAGCTGTCTGCGGTGAAAAGCGAAGGATTTTTCACTGCTACTCCATTGGGAGTGCGATTGTGTTATTGTGCGGTGACCTTTATTCCTCACGGCTGAGGGAAAAGGTTGCGATGTCGTTCCCTGACTGGAAATTACATAAGTTTACAGCACGACAGCATCGCACACATCAAACACGGAGCATATGGGAGGAGGGAGAACTGGGAAAAGGGGATTGGACGTCGCATATGGGAAAAAAAGAACAACTAAATCACAGGCAACTCTGCTGAGCCGCAGAACGACTACACACACACTACATAGCAACATGGAAGACCAAAAGATGATGCATGAGCTTATTAATGGGTTGAATGGGCACTTGTTGGGAATAAAAGAGTTGACTCGAAAATCTCAAGAGGCTAAGAAGTTTGCCTATTGCCCATACAGCAAGTTTCGAGTCGGGGCAGCACTGCTGACACATGACGGGACGGTTTTCACAGGTGAGGATGTTATAATATAATATAATATAATATAATATAATATATATATATATATATATATATATATATTAGTTTAAAAGAATACAATACAAGTATAATATAATACAATTTAATAAAATATTAGTATAATATAATGTAATATATAATATAATATTAGTTGCATATAATATAATATTAGTATAATATAATATTAGTATAATGTTATATAATATAATATAACATAATATAATTTAGTATAATATAATATATTATCAATATAATATGATATAAGTATAATATAATATAATTTAGAGATAAAGTTAATTTAGAAGCTGCTAAATCAAGACTGATGACCCCTGCCAACCCCTCATTATAATAAAAATATTAATAGTAATACATAACAGTTTGTAACCCTTCATTGCCTTGAATTTAAACATGGAGATTGTTGTACGCATCTGTCGCTAATTCAGTCATTTACCCCCACAGACAGTGTTTTAGATGTAAACCTATACAGTTTTATTGTATTCTCAGTTTTTCCCCTTTTTTCCTTTCCATGTTTGTTCTTGGTGGTTTTTGCTTATGTTTGTAAAATGTAAAAAATGTTAAATCTTTTAAAAAAGATACTTCAGGAGGTTGTTATCGCAGAATTACACCAGACATAAAAGCGGAGCACTGTTGTTTAAGACTAAAGGGCTTTATTCTGTGAAAATAACAATCCTGGATGTACTTTAACCCACTTATTACACAGCTACTTGCCACAAAGTATGAAAATTAGACAAAACAATGTTCATTCATTGTAATATGAATGTGATATTATACACAGGGGCCAATTAAGTCATTTGGAGGCCCTAAGCAATTTCAGCCATGGGGCCCAAAGGTATTAATATGCACCTTTTGTATTTAATTGTTTTTGTCTTTTTGTTTTAATATCTTTTTTTTTTTCGATGTTTTCTTTTTATATTAAAACAACATTACAATTATATTTGTTAGACCCCTCACTGTGAGGACAAAGTGAAAGCGCTCGCACTTTAAGACGGGCTCGTAAAACAACAACCAGGCATAGCAGATTTAGTTCCTCTTGGCTTTGTGGCTGTTCATTAAAATGACGGCAAGGTTTGTTCGAGCTTGGGTCGACCATGGCTTGTTATTATATGTATATATTATTACAGTGTTATGTCTTGGCTGTGTATTTAAAACATGGCGGTTCCTTTGTTTTCATTTTGGCTTGGTGCCAAGCGACAGACGTATCTCTGTAAACCAATAACAGTCGGCTGAGTGTCTTCGCCTTTTCGTACCCTTTGCAAAGGGTGCTGAAAAAGTGGTACGGTACGGTACGCCTTTTGACAGTGGAAACGGTGTTACGGTTACTAATTTAAATATGACTCTTGAACCAGAGACAACAGAACATAAATAAACAACCGCCAAAGTGCTCCAGCCAAATTATTTATTAACAGAACAATCAATAACAAAACAATCCAAAATTAAGGACAGGAGTGAATGCCACACGCAACAAACGGCCAAGCATACCAAACCGTACTGTACCACTTAAATGATTATCACTGGGTGATTTATTAAACTCAATACGCAATCAATAGTGAAATGATATCAGTTTTTAGCATAATTAGTAGTCTAATATTCAAGCTGACTAATGATGACTCAGGTTGAGTAATGTAATGATTATTGCTCTCTCAGTTGAAGTGACGCAGGCTTGAACTGCAGTGAAGCAGCACTTATTGACTGCTGTACAATGACCTTAGTGTTAGTCACTACAGAAGCACGAGACACTTTGTCGTCAGAAAGTAAATAAAAACTTGTCCTTTGACATGACAGACCCCTCCAGACCAGCCAATAGAAATCAAACTGGCTACAAAACACAAGTACAGGACGTACCATATAATATTTGTCTTGTGTGTTAACAGTGTGACGCAATGCATTTTTAAACAGAGGCCACTGAATGTTAAAGGGGACCTATTACGCAAAAATCACTTTTATAAGGGGTTTAAACACAGTCTGTGAATCTAGCCAGCATCTAATGCTAAAAAATGTATTCATTTTAGGGTTCATAATCACACTTGATAAGAACAGTCTGCAGAAACACTTTGATTGACAGTCTCTCTTTGTATGTGTCATCAGAGAGGAAAAGCCCCGACCACTGGTGACCACCTCATTAGTAGGGCCAGACAGAATCTGTGGACATTTTTGCTATTTCTGTGGAGAATTTTGTAAAAATAAATCTGCAGATTTATGTGGAATGATTTTGGGAGTATCATAAGAAAAAACTTAATAAGTTAAATTATTTATTATTATTTATCATTGTTATTATTTAACGTTTAGAATGCAAATCCAATTAGATCCACTTATTTGGTAAACAAAGCACGTCTCTCAAATATTATATCAACTACAAGCCAGAAAAAATACTTTACAGACTGTATAGTAAATAAATCAAGAAAACATTTTAATATCAGTCATTAATATTACTGAAATTAATTTAAAACCTGAATGAATATAAATTTACACACATTTACACAAGCCAATAAATAAATACTCAATGATAGGCGCAGAAGTGTGGGCCTACTCATTAGCATAAGACATTAGTCTTGTTTTTGAATCTGCCACTATGCTGACACACAGGCATTTGTAGCTCCGCCCACTTTTAAAAAGAGCACAATCTCATTTGAATATAAAGCGACAGTCACCAAAACAGCACAATTAGGATCAAAGCCTGAAAGGGTCAGTTTCAGAGAGTTATAAAACATTATTTGTGTGGCTTTTTTTAGATGAAACTGCACATACACACTCTAAAGCAGGGGTCACCAATCTCGGTCCTGGAGGGCCGGTGTCCCTGCAGGGTTTAGCTCCAACTTGCTTCGACACACCTGCCTGAGTGTTTCAAGTATGCATTTAAGACCTTGATTAGCTATTCAGGTGTGTTTGATTAGGGTTGGAGGGCAAATCTGCAGAGCACCGGCCCTCCAGGAACAAGTTTGGTGATCCCTGCTCTAATTCACTTTGAAGGGATAGTTTGCCCAAAAATGCTAATTACCTCACTATTTACTTAAATCTTTGAGCTTTCTGAACACAAAAGGAGATATTTTGAAGAATGTTGGTAGCTGTTGACTTCGAGAGAAGGATAAAATACTATTGAAGTCAATAATGTTGTTTCCATCCATCCAAAGATGTGAATTACACTCAGAAAATGATTGGCTTGTTCAGACTACTTATTTAAAATGAGCTGAAACACAACTCTTGAGTTTATTTTTGGGACAACTTAATTGTTTAATGTTCAATCCACTTAAATTAGTGAAACATAATTAACTGTGTTAGGGACAACATGAAGGAACTGTGTGGAAGCCAGCATTTTTTACAGTGTAGATTTATGCAATAGTATCTGGATACTGCCTTTGTGAGGCAAGCTGTGATCGCATCATTCAGCGATGCAATGTCAGACACAATGCACTCAATGGAGTGAGTGATGTCACTGTGACAGGTAGGGTTAGGGGTGGGGTTAGGTGAGCGCATTAAAAAATATTGGATGCAGCTCAGATTGCACTGCAGTCTGGAGCCAGACCCCTCTCGATTTATGTGCAAATCTAGAATAATCGCGTAACACACCAGAGTCTGACCTGGTGCCAAAAATTATTTATTTGGTAAATGTGCTTCCATCATAGTTTATGCTAATTTTTTCCTTATTGAATAAATTTTATCCTACTCAGTATACGTTCTTTTCATGCACATTTTCAAAATGTATGCACATCTTGGCGTTTCCATGAAACATTTTTTAGATATAATCGTTCAAAATGAGCATAAACAGGTAGATGAAAACATAGCTGATGGTTTCCAAACATTCTTCAAAATATCTTCTTTTGTGTCCAACAGAAGAAACAAGCTCAAATAGGTTTTAAACAAGTGAGTCAACGATGACAGTATTCAAATTTTGGGGAGAACTCCCCCTTGAAGGTGACACGGTGGCTCAGTGGTTAGCACTGTCGCCTCACAGCAAGAAGGTTACTCGTTCGAGTCACGGCTGGGCTATTTGGCATTTCTGTGTGGAGTTTGCATGTTCTCCCCATGTTGGCGTGGGTTTCCTCCAGGTGCTCCGGTTTTAGTCCAAACACACATGCTATAGGTGAATTGGATTAACTAAATTGGCCGTATTGTATGAGTGTGCGTGTGAATGAGTGTGTATGGGTGTTTTCTAGTACTAGGTTGCAGCTGGAAGGGCATCCGCTGCATAAAACATATGCCAGAATAGTTGGCGGTTCATTCCGCTGTTGTGACCCCTGATAAATAAGGGACTAAGCTGAAGGAAATTAAATGAAGTCACCTTTTAATTTAAACCCAATACATATATAACCTTCTTTATTATGTCTCCACATCAGGGTGTAACGTGGAAAACGCATGCTTCAACCTGGGAATCTGTGCTGAGAGAGTTGCCATTTCCAAAGCTGTATCTGAGGGCTACAGGGATTTCAAAGCCATTGCTATTGCGAGGTAAACATCTCTCTACTGTACTCAGCTGGCCCTCTAGTGGAGGGAAATAAAATTTCAGTGGTGGGTCAGCATTTCTGACCACTTTAACAGCTGGCCTAAGTAACACAATGATGTGTCTTTTTCAGTGATATGTGTGAGAACTTTATTTCCCCCTGTGGAGGATGCCGGCAGTTCATGAGAGAGGTAAGTTCCTTTTTACACTGTATTCAGTGCTTCAAGGATTTTGCAAAAAAAAAAAAAAATAAATAAATAAATAAATATATATATATATATATATATATATGTGTGATGTTCTGCAACAAAAATGATTTTTTTTTTGTACAAAAATTTTAGTGTTAAAAAATTCTTGTTGCCTTCATCTTGCTGCTTTTTTCTTCATTGTTGAAACAACTTAATTTTTTTAGTCATCTTATATCATAACTTACACTCACTGGCCACTTTATTAGGTACACATTACTAGAATCGGGTTGGACTCATTTTGCCTTCAGAGCTGCCTTAATCCTTCGTGGCATAGATTCAACAAGATACTGGAAACATTCCTCAGAGATTTTGCTCCATGTTGACATGATAGCATCACACAGTTGCTACAGATTTGTCAAAACATCCATGATGCAAATCTCCCATTCCACCACACCTCAAACGTGCTCTATTGGATTGAGAACTGGTGACTGTGGAGGCCATTTGAGCTCAGGGAACTCATTGTCATGTTTAAGAAACCAGTCTGAGATGATTTGTGTTTTTTGACATGACGCGTTATCCTGCTGGAAGTGGCCATCAGAAGATGAGTACACTGTGTTCATAAAGGGATGGACATGGTCAGCAACAACACTCAGGTAGGCTGTGGCATTGACACGATGCTCAGTTGGTACTAATGGGCCCAAAGTGTGCCAAGAAAAATCCCTGACACCATTACACTACCAGCCTAAACCCCAGATACAAGGCAGAATGGATCCATGCTTTCATGTTGTTGATGCCAAATTCTGACCCGACCATCCGAATGTGTCAGCAGAAATGGAGACTCATCAGAGCAGGCAACGTTTCTCCAATCTTCTATTGTCCAGTTTTGGTGAGCCTGTGTGAACTGTAGCCTCAGTTTCCTGTTCTTAGCTGACAGGAGTGGCACCCGGTGTGGTCTTCTGCTGCTGTAGCCCATCTGCCTCAAGGTTGGACGTGTTGTGTGTTCAGAGATGCTCTTCTGCAGACCTCTGTTGTAACGAGTGCTTATTTGAGTTACTGTTGCCTTTGTATTAGCTCGAACCAGTCTGGCCATTCTCCTCTGACAACAGCAAGGCAATGAGGGGGCGTGGTTAAGTATGTTAGCCACGCCCACTATGCAGGAAATCTGCAGCTATTTAAAAAAAAATGTGAACTGAACAAGTTTTGCAACATTTGCTTGATTTTGCATTAACAAATTGGGATTCATTAATCATCTTTAATAATTTTTTTCTGTCCACAGTTTGGTTCTAACTGGGAAGTGTATTTGTCCAAACCTGACGGTTCCTATGTTGAGATGACGGTTGAGGAACTTCTGCCTGCATCTTTCGGACCAGAGGACTTAAAAATGAAGAAAGCGAACATTCGGAATGAGTTCTGAAGAGGAGATTCTAGAGGAGATCGCATATGTTGAAGCCAGAATTTTTACCAGCCCTCCTGTGACTGTTTTTCTTGTTTAAATATTTCCCAAATGATGTTGAACAGATTGAGGAGTTTTTCACAGTATTTCCTATAATATTTTTTTCTTCTGGAGAAAGTCTGATTTGTTTTATTTTGGCTAGAATAAAAGCAGTTTTTCATTTTTAAAATCATTTTAAGGTCAATAATACTAGCCCCCTTAAGCAGTGTTTTTTCCTCAACCTTTTTTTTTTGCCTTGAGACCTCCTTTTATTATGTATTAAAAAAAAAAAATTCTCTCCGTTAAACAGAAATTGAGGAAAGAAATATACAGGGGGTTAATAATTCTGACTTCTCAACTGTACAGGAGAGCTTTGCTGTGTATATAGTACATTATGAAACATTGTGTTTAAAGGGAAAATTTAAATGAAAACTACCTCATCATTTATTCTCCCTCATAGGGTTTTAATCCTTTATGAGTTTCTGTCTTCTGTTGAACACATTAGATGACATTTGAAAGAATGCAAGTTGATGGAACCCCTCGACTTCCATAGTAATTTAGATTTTTCCTACTATGGAAGTCAATGGGCTTTCAGCATTCTTCAAAGTATCTTCTTTTGTTTTCAAGAAACTCAAACAGGTTTGAAACAAGTGAAGAGGGAGTAAATGATGACAGTGTTTCCATCATAAACTATCCCTTTAACAGTGCTGAATGTTAACTAATTTATATACTCTTTAAATGTATGTAAAGATTGTAATTATTCTTATTTTTGAATAAACACCAAAATATGAGTGAACACACTGCTACAGTACAAACTTTATTATTATTATCATCATTATTATTATTTAAACAATGAACATGATATATAAATCAACCACAAAATAGTGCAACATAAAAAGTCATTTTCTTAAAGAGACAGTACACCCAAAATGAAAAATCATTTAGTCATCCTCCAGTTTTCTTCTTCTGCTGAACACAAAGACAGATACTGAAGAATGTTATGAAATAACAGCCATTCACTTCCATTATATATACACGTTTTGTTCCTATTATAGATGTCAATGGCTGCTTTTTTAACCCCAACATTCTTCAGAATATCATCTTTTGTGTTTAACAGAAGAAAAAAATTCAGTTTAGAATTAGCTGAATGTGAGTAAATAATGAGAAAACGTTCATTATTGGGTGAACTACCCCTTTAAAAGAAACCACCAACTGATGATCTATGCCACAGGTGTCAAACTAGGTTCCAAAAGGGCCACAGCTCTGCACAGTTTAGTTCCAACCCTAATTAAACACACCTGATCAAACTAATTGAGTCCTTCAGGCTTGTTTGAAACCTACAGGTAAGTGTGTTGGAGCAGGGTTGGAGCTAAACTGTGCAGGGCTTCGGCCCCCCAGGGATTGAGTTTGACACCCCTGATCTACACAGTGATGTCCAAACTCGGTCCTGGAGGGTAAGTATCCTGCAGATTTTAGCTCCAACTTGCCTCAACACACCTGCAAGGATGTTTCTAGAAAGCCTAGTTAAAGCTTGATTAGCTAGCCCAGGTGTGTCTGATTGTGGTTAGAACTAAACTTTGCCGGACACCGGCCCTCCAGGACCGAATTTGGACACGCCTGATCTACAGCATAGGTCTCAAAGCTGGATTCCTGAAGGGACGCAGCGGTCAAAAATCAAGCACAGCTGATCACTTAATCAAGTTGTTTAAAAGAGTCTCGAACACCTTGATTAGTAGCATTAGCTGTGTTTGATTAGGGTTGGAGCCAAACTGTGCAGCGCTGCGGCCCTCCAGGAATCGAGACCCATGATCTACAGACATTCTTAATCTTATTCAACCGGTTGTGATGATTCAGATGCATTTAGAGTCTCTATTTAAATATGGAGTTTAGGAATGAAAGATAAGCGAGTCTTTCAAAGTGCAAAACATGAATTAATCGACTAAAGTAACTATGGTGTCTGATAAAAAGGCAGCACATGCACAAACGGCATTAAAGGATTGTATTTATAATGCAATATAGTGAACTCTTCATGCAGCACGGTTTAGTAAATTGAGATTTTGCATAAGGAAATTGGGTTAACGAAACCTTTCGTACACATACAGACACACGCACACACATTTTAATCTCTATAATCCAAATAACGACTCCGACTGCAAAAAAAGGCTGATGAGTAACCTTAAATTAGGTATAGTTCACCCAAAAATGGTAATTTATCCACAATTTACTCACATTCAAGCAGTTTCAAGCCTTAATGAATTTATTCTGAACACAAAAGAAGCTATTTTGAAGAAAGTTGAAAACCATTGACTTCCATAGTAAGTCAATGTTTTTTTGTGTTCAAGAGGAGAATGTCCAACAGGTTTTAACAATTGAATGCTGAGTAAATGATGACAGAACGTTCAGTTTTTGGGTCAACTATCCCTTTAATACAAGCTTCTCTTAAGTCAGGACCAAATCGAAGGCCCAAATTATAAAGTAGCGCAATGGCCGCCAATCCCCCAGCAGTGTAAAGACACATTTAGCCCTATTCAAAGCTACACAGAGTGGCTTTATCTGGGTATCGGCATCCGTACAGTAATGAAACGAGCCTACACTGGCAGATGGGAATTGAGTTTAACCTCGAAAGCAGCAAACAGGCAAATTGTGCTCTAAATCAGTGTTTCCCCAACCCTGTTCCTGAAGGCACACCAACATATTTTGGACGTCTCCCCTATCTGACTCATTAACTTCATGTTTTGGAGACTTTCTAATGTTCTGATGAGTTGATTCAGGTGTGTTTGATTAGGAAGTGTGTACTGTTGGTGTGCCTTCAGGAACAGAGTTGGGAAACACTGCTCTAAATATCCTCTCATAACCAGTGCATTTCACAAAATAACTTAACATCTTTTAAAAACGACCATGTAATCGAGATTGAAAAAGGTCTAGAATTCGACATCTCCTGCTATGGGTATAGTCTTATTTCTGCGGTGTGATGGTGTCCATACCGGGCCAGGCTGAAACGTAGTGCCTTGGTAGAGTTCCCTCCATGAGCCGCTCCATCCACAGGCCCAGTCGGTCCAGTTTGTGGTGGATCTCCAGAGTCGTGGCCTTCTGACGGGAACTTGAACGGGACCTTGAGGTTCTGCTGGTTCCTCCGGTCGCTGCATCGTCATCCGAGTACCTGCTACGTTCAGCTTCCTCACCTGTAAACACGGGTCTGAATACGCAGAAGTACTTCTTGTGGCCGTTGAGCGCCAGGACGTGGCCCGTGTGGTCTAATTTGTTGGTGCTGGGGTCCTCCACCTCTTCCTCTTCATCCGACCTGGCGTCGGGAGCAGACTCCATGAGGGAGTCCATCCATTGGCGGTGCTTGTCCACATTTAGAAAGGAGTAGTGGAGATTCTGAGACCTGCAAGCGGGAAGTGAATTTAGTTGTAGGACTTTAGAAAAGGCTTGAAATGCTCAAAACAGTTCCTTCGTTTTGTTCAGGGTGCTTTCCCACTGGCAGGTTAGTCTAAAATGGGACACTGCCTACCAGAAAAAACAGGTAATGTACAATAGAGGTCTTCATTGGTCTGAAAGTTCAGATCGGAACCCAAAAAGACCTATAAATGCTGTGCACACACCTAACTCGGACCTGTTAAGCCCCGGTCAGATCAGACAAATGTGGCACAATTTCAGCAAGATTTCCTTGACGTTGGGTTTCGTAGGGATTCGTAATTGACAAATGGGCGTTGTGACACAAGATTCAATCGTTTCTTCTCGTGTAATGTGGCATGGTTTACGTAAACCGACACCATGTCTGTGACACCATCACAGAAAGTCTAGCATGTTTAATTTTTTCTCGTTCTTGATGACGAGTTTGGTCACGTCTGTGACGCTGTGCAATAGGAGCACATAACTTCTCAGTTATCTTAGTGGGTGCTTCAGTTAAAAGCACCGGTCAGGTATTTAAAAATAGGCTGCATAATTACTTATGGGCAGGGCCAGACGGAATCTGCAGACGTTTTTTGCTATTTCTGCGGAGGATTTTGGTAAAAACCTGCGGATTTCTGCGGAATTATTTTAGGAATATCCAGCGGAGTATGATAACTAAAACCTTAATATATTAAATAAAAAGTAATAAATTACTGAATAAAAACGGAATAAATTCAGATATACACATTTACGCAAGTAAATAAATAGAATTAATGATGGGCTAAAAATCTGCAGAAATCTGTGGAAAATCTGCGGAATTCTGCGCGCGCAAATTCCGTGTGGGCCTACTTATGGGTTGGTCACCAGTGGACAAGATCAATCATTGATTATGCAAACTTTAACTACACTTTCTAAAATATTAAAGTGTTTTAAGCAGTTTTATGTAACTGGCACATATATGCAGACATCTTCATTCTCACAATGAGTTTGTGAGTTCTCTCATTCTTCCAACAGAGCTTCTTCTGAGGTAATCTGGGAAAATGTTCAGAGCTTCGAATACATTGTAAAAGTATTTCCTGCATATTAAAATTCATCATTAATAGTGAAAACAGTTTAATATAGGCTTCTCTGAAACTGAATATTTCACTTTAATTTTATTTAGGCTAGATTATTATTTTATTTAACAAACCAACACAATCTCATGGCAATTCGTGTTTTGGCGCATATAGCAGACATGTTTTGAAGCTCATCACCTCAAATGTTATTCGTTATTCTTGTTTATAGATAACTGACCAACAAAATACTCATTAAAATTAAGTAAAAAATTACAGCAAATGAAATTCTTTTCAAAAAGTAATTTTTCCAAGAAAAAAAATACAAAAATTAATTTTTATTTGTGCCCTTCCAATACTCAACTATACAAGTGGATGATTTGTTTTACTCTGAGGAAAATAAGAATGCTTTACTTTAATTGTTGTATTAACTAATCTATATATATTTTCACAAATATACAATGTGTAAAACAATTACACAAATTCACAAATAAACATATTTGATAATTTTGTAACCTATCATTATTTTAAAGATTATGACTTGAGCATCTTATTTTTCCTCAGTGTTGATGTGCTTTCATTTTCTCCGTCTCACAGCAAGTTCAGGCGAGGGAGTGTGAAATAAGCAACCCTGGCAGGAAAATATATATTTAGATTTTTAAGAAAATATCTTAATATTAAAAAAGGAATCATAAGGCAGTCAGGCAGCATAAAACAGAGTGTGGAGCAAAGCACATCAAATAATGGGTTATTAAAAGAGAAAAAAAAGAAAAATAGAATAAATTAATATTTTTATATTAGACACACATCTGATGTTTGTATTTGCACCAATCCCACAGCCACAACTTCACGCATTGGGTTAAATTAGGCTTTGCAGTCTCCATGTTCAGTCTATTACTTCCACTGTATCTGTTCAGCTGAGGGAACGGAACCAACTTCGTCAGACACAGCGACATTCCAAGATGGCAGCACCATAGGTCTAAAATCTATAGTAAAACATGCTGTTTTTTTCTAAATAGTTACATCAATCCAGTTTGTTTAATATATTTTCATTTATGTGGAAATCAATTTACAAAGTAATGTGAACTTGACTGAGTGCTTCCTTTCCCCTGAAAGAAGGTTGATCTCCAGAAACAGATTTTAATGTTTTCTCAAATGCACAAACAGGTCTTACCCTGAGAATGAGTATACTTCTTTGGCAAACTTCCTGAGCAGCACTTGTTTAGAAGCATCAGTGAGGATCAGCACCACGTTGATGTGACCAGGCTTTAACCGGACTAAGTTGCTCATGTAGGTGATGTCTGTCAGCTCTGTCACCTCCACAAAATTCTTCTTAGGTGGACGACTGGAACAGGAAAAAAAACAACAGCTCTCAGTGCAATCCTGATATTCACATATGGGCTCAAAATCTCAGCATGATGTCTAGCATTTGAGGATCTTTTGGTCTACTTCACTTTGTCAGAAGGGCCCTATTTAAGTGATTTCTTGATTGCAAACAGGTGTGGCAGTAATCAGGCCTGGATGTTGCTGGAGAAATTGAACTCAGATGTGACAATCCAGAATTACGTTTTAACAAGGGGCAAATACTTTTTCACACTAAGGACTCAAGACTATGTAGGTTTGCTTTTTGTCTTAAAAACAATAACCTTCATTTAAAAACTGCATGATGTGTTATTTTTGACTAATAATAAAATTAGTTTGATGATCTGAAACATTAAAGTGTGACAAACATGCTTAAAAATAATAAATCTGTAAGGGGGCAAACACTTTTTCACACCACTGTATATCATTTCAATGTGCAATAAAAAAATTTTCGGGCCTCACCTTGAAGTGCTTTCTGGGCCTGGAGAGCTCTCCGGTGTCTTTGGTGACTCTGTGGCCTTTTGTTTGGTTGGTTTTTCCTCCCCAGAGTCACTGTTCAGCATAACAAATACAAGTAAATGCACAACTGGACTTAAAAATGTGCTTGGGAAAAAATCTAACCAAATTGTGACTCCAACCTGAAGGCCTGAATGATTACAGTCCCGAACAGGATGAAAAGAGCCGAGAAGATCAGCGACAGAACAGGCATCATCTCACGCCTGGGACAAACAAATGACAAATGTAAACTTATTTAGTTTCATTTATTTAAAAATATGAATTTCATTAACAATTTTGAGATTAAATTCTCCATTGGTTCTGTTTTTTAAGCAAAATAAATCTGCACTGAAACCACGTCACTGATGAAATATATTAATCCAAGGATGGATCTTGACTACAGTGTTTGTGATTGTGCCCGCAAAACAAACGCACAAGCCATTTTTCTCAGAAAACATATTTCTAAAGGTGCAGTTGATTTTCCCCAGATGTTGGTAACAATTAAAAAAGTCCATATATGCAGAGAAAACAAAACTATTTAGTTTACAAATGAATTTATGTGTAATAAAATGAAATAACACAGGGAAAATGTATTGAACACATGAAGAAAGGTGTAGAAAAGCAGTGAAAGCCCAGACAGCAGCTGAAATCTCTCAGTAGTTCTTTAGCAAGCCTCTGCCCTTCCTCAGTGTAAATGAATATCAGCTGCTTCAGTCCAACATTCACATTAGCAGGAGAATGAAGATGAAACCAGGGTGGACATTTCAGCAAGACAATGATCCAAAACACAGACAAGGAGACTCTCAAATGAATTCAGAGAAAGAAAATCAAGCTGTAGAATGGCCCAGCCAATCACCTGACTCCAATATAATCCAATATAGAACAAAATAAAGCTCAGATTTGAGACGAGACCCACAGAACCATCAAGATTTTTATACTCTGTTGAAGTTTGTGGAAAAACTCAGCAATGCATGTGACTTCATTCCTTAAATGAGAGGCGTCTTTAAGCTGCAGCACCAAAAAAGACCTTTCATTTGAAGTATTAACGCATTTCAGTAGTTTGGTACTTTCACCTTGAGTCATTTCATTGTGAACTAATTTTTCTGATTGCTTTTTGTTTTGTTTTACTTTTATGTTTGTATTTTTTTTTTGTATTTAATTTGTAACTGTAATTACAGTAATTAGAAATGTCACTCTTTTAATCAGAGTTTTTAGAGTCACCAATTTCATAAATGTAACAGAATATGTTAATTTCAGTCATAAAGACCCTATAATAGATATGTAAATCAGTTAAAATAAGCAATCAGCATGAGCTGACCTTCTCACATGCAACCCTTTCTGTAGCAATTTAACCAATTATATCAATTTCTAAAGTATGTAACTTAGTTGTCGCTGAACTAGACATACAGAAAGACATTTATATGACGTAAAAACAAAACATTTATAAAATTACAATAAGGTAAACAACATGTTATCTGTGTTCATTTGAGGAGTTCTTAGAAATATGTCACCGTAAATGAGATAACTCGAGTACAGAGAACTGTGCTCACCAGTTAGAGTAGAGAAGATCAAAGTAAAACTGAGCCAGGTAATCATATGCGGTGTTTATCCACTGAATCAGAAACATCTGGAATAAAAATAGAAAACAACCTTATTATTGTGTAATCATTTCTTTTACTATCATTTCCAATAAAAACTCAGTATTTCTGCACTTTCTAGGCAATGTAAATATCTTTAACCTTTGTGTACTGTTTAAATTGACTCCCCTTTCGTTATGTTTGGGGCTGTTTTTGCCCCACTGACTTCCATTATAATGAAAAGTTTACCCAAAACGGAAAATTGAGCCATCGTTTACTCTCCCAACACAAAAAAGAAGATATCTGGAAGAAAGCTGGAAACCTGTAATCATTGACTTTCATAGTATTTGTTTTTCCTACCTTGGAAGTCAATGGTTACCGCTTTCTTACATTCTTCAAAATATCTTCTTTTGTGTTCAACATAAAAAAAGAAACAAAATAGTATTAATTTTTGAGTGAATTATGCCTTGTATCCTCTATAAGACTCACAGAAGCAAACTCATTGTTAAGTTCAGGCAGCATGGCATCATGGGTAAGGTAGGAGGGGTCTCTTTGCAGAAGCTCAAGCTGCTCATGGAGGCGATGCTTATCATCATCACTGCCGTTCCATCCGCCCGTCACTGTCCGATATAACACCCGTCCTGAAGTGCTACGTCTCTCCAAGATAATCACCTGTGGTCACATGCACAAAAGCAATCAACTCATGAGGCAACAAAACAAGGTGACAGTAGCGGGTTCCATACAAAGATGTAACGTAGACTTATGCGTAAAATTTGATTATTGCATAAAACATTTTCAAATTAAGAACTGTTTCAATCCAATGAGTCACGGAGAAAAAAATTGTCACTTCCTGAGAAACTGGCGCCAAATATCAAAAAGAAAAATGGCATTTGCTGCTGTAGGAGAAGCCAATGTGGGCCTTTTATTAATATAATTAATGATTTGTGCCTCAGAAGATAAAGACAAAACGCAATGAACGTGCTATGGCTTTTGGAGGTTTGAGGCGCTCTTTGGGAGGGCAGATGCTTAAGGGTGCTTTCCCACCTGCCTTATTTAGTTCGATTGAATCGCACTAGAGTTCGTTTTCCCTCTTGGTGCGGTTCGTTTGGGCAGGTGAGAATGCAGCAATCGTACTCGAGTGCGCACCAAAAGCGGACCAAAGAAGCGTACCGAGACCTGCTTGAAGAGGTGGTCTCGGTACGCTTTCAAACGAACCCTGGAGCGGTTCGTTTGTGGTGAGAATATGATCCGTACTAAAACAGGTCCAACCGCAAAAAGTACTGTGCGTTTTGGACTAATCCAGCTGCCGTAGGCCGATGCGCTGTGCATTATGGGATATGGAGGAAAATATTTGTTGACAGCGCTTTACCAACAGATAGAGAGAGAGGGGAAAACATTACCTGATGGATCATTGGTATTATTTCCACAAGATGACCATGTCGCAGTTTAGCTAAATTGATTCACGGCTCCTCCTGAAGTGATGAGTGATACATTAAACACTGTTTTCCAGCCGCGGCCGCGCTTAATTTTCGTAATGTATAGTTTTTCTAAAGCAGGGATACAATCAGCCAGCGCAGTCATCCCTCCAGAGTAAAATGTTTTGTTTAATTGCAGGAGTTCACTGGCACTTTCCCACACGTGAATTCTGACCAATCAATAAGCAGTTTAGGAAATATGTTCGACAATATCTGGCCAATGAGAGATGTGGATTTTGTCAGATGACTGCATTTTGGTTCGTTTCAACTGGTTCGGACCAAAGCCAGCAGTGTGGTGTGAAAACGACCCAAAGACAGCAGAAAATGCAACAATGTATCAGTTATTACCCTTGGTCCGGACCAAATAAAGAGAACTACAGATGTGAAAGCACCCTAAGACAGTTCTGGAGACAATAATACTGAAGCACTGTGATGACAGACTTTGGCTGAGGGATTTCAGAATGACCAAAACAACATTTCAGATTAATTAATTTATTTTTTGTACAATTTAGTCGGTCCGTTGGCTTATTCATGGATGGAAACAGTTAATGTGTGGATGAGGACAATACCATCTCTGACCTGTGGAGGGGTTGTGTCGTCTTTCTTGAGTAGGGTGTCACAAAGAGGTTGCTGTTGTCTCTGATCAACATAAGCGAACCGGAGAACTTCCTTAGTGTTGGAGGAAGCAAAGTCAAAGAAGGCTTCGTTCACGGACACAAACTGCTCTCCTTCACCAGTAACCAGCAGAACACAGTACCTGTTGAGCAGAGAGAAAGCGAGAAGATGAAGTCTCAAAAGTTAACCAACACCCAAATGAAATCAAAACTAACCACAATAACTTTGTTAGCTCACATTGCTAGCTTTGTGAACAATTATTCTGTGCATGTTATCAAGAAAAAAACAATAGTTTGCCCTTTTAATCTTTAATTGAAATCTGAAAAGGGCGAAGCAGTGGCGCAGTAGTTAGTGCTGTCGCCTCTCAGCAAGAAGGTCGCTGGTTTGATCATTGGCTCAGTTGGCGTTTCTGTGTGGAGTTTGCATATTCTCCCTGCATTTGCATGGGTTTCCTCCGGGTGCTCCGGTTTCCCCCACAGTCCAAAGACATGCGGTACAGGTGAATTGGGTAGGCTAAAGTTGTCCGTAGTGTATGTGTGTGTATGTTTCCCAGAGATGGGTTGCAGCTGGAAGGGCATCCGCTACGTAAAAACTTGCTGGATAAGTTGGCGGTTCATTCCACTGTGGCGACCCCGGACTAATAAAGGGACTAAGCCGACAAGAAAATAAATGAATGAATGAAATCTGAAAATGCACTTGCTGTTTGTTTTAGTTAAATTCTAAGATTACGCATGTCTCAGGTATTGGGTGTGGCTAACATACTTAACCACGCCCCGCCAGCTATCAGTTTTGACAACAAACAGAAACGATGAGCAGGAGGAGTCTGTTAGGTTGTAATAAATCTTCCCAAACCATTTTCCTCATCTTTTTGAATGAAATGCCTACTTGAGTACACCCAATCAACTTGCAGTAGAAAAAACAAGCCACACCCACTGTTTTCTCATTTAATATGACGTTTCTCTAGGAACTGCATCACAATACGAAAGAAAAGGTCAACAGTTATGTGAGATTGCTTACTTCCTGCGACGGTGGAACTGTTTAACAGGACACAGCTCATCAAAGAGTTTCTGATTCACCAGACGCGGCACCAGAAGAAAACGATTATTTGACACAAACTCGTCAAGGATCTGCTTTTTCATTCCTCTTGCCTAGGAATAAAAAAAAGATTAGTCAGTAATACATTTAATACAAGACCAATTCTCACTTTAAACTAGCTGCTTATTGGCATGCTACTTATAAACATATTGATTGTTTGTTAGTAATAACAAATAACACATTCATCATTTCTTGCCCTACCCAATATCTAAACTTCACTACTACCCAGGGTTGGGAATAATTTGGGGTTATTTAGATACTTTCGTGCTAAAAAAATACTTTTAAAAAGGTACCGGTGCCTGAACTGATACTTTTGAGCCACAAAATTATGTTGAATGACTTTAGAAAAACTTTTTATTTGACAAAAAATACTCACATCCAATTCCTCAGTTTGTCATGGGGGCATGCATGAAATGTTCCCGAATGAAAGTGAAACTGTCAAACTGAAGTTAAAGTCGAAAAATAAATAATTAAACACCTGAAATGACATGAAACGCTGGATAGTGTGGTGACGCAAAGACGTTAATCGACTTATGTGCTTTAACATGTAAACCGGGATACAAAAAGCAACTCATGTAAACACTTTATTCATATTACTGTTAATCGTATTATTGTCTTATTCAGATTAAGACAAATACTTATATTACTGATGTCCATGTAAACGTAGTCACTGAAAGTGCCAGATGATGTCTTTCCCTTTAAGTTGATTCTATGTGCCCTCAACCCCTACTATCTGTGCCTTTGATGCAACCCTTGATGCTTGTTGTCGCTGCACCATTGGCACCGAAATAAGTCAGAAATGAGAAATTAGAACCGTTACATAGAGGTTACATAGGGTTTCGGTACTCATCCCTACTACTACCACCTTTATTGTTTATTTGTATATTTTACAACAAGGGACAGTGTACATTAATCAATGTGGCCCAAGAACATAAATGTACCCAAATTTGCCTAAAGATAGGTTTTCTTTGGTGGTCCCTTAGACAGATTTTAAAGGTCTACACCAATAAAAATACCCAAATGGACGACAAAAAACAACCACAAAAACATCAAAGAGCCTGCTGATTATTAAGAAGCCATTTCTAAAAATTTAAAATAAAATCTTTAGATTAAACAACTAATAATAAGCAACAAATTATACGATTCTTGAGGCGGAAAGCAAAATTAAGGGTTTGTTAAGAGCAAGAATTTATTCCTTAAATGAAGTGTGATGCATTCGTGGAGAAAAAAAACTAACCTTGTACACAGTTTTACATTGTTTACATTGAATTTGTTAGCAGGGTGTTACCTGTATAACATCAGCAGGTTTCTCAGTGTTCTCTTTAAACAGGAGCATTGTTGGCGCATATGTGTTAATGTTGAATCTCTGCACGACTTTGGAGGTCTCAGTCAGGCCCATATCCACATATCCAAACCTCACATAGTCTTTATAGGCGAAGGCAGTGAGCTGCAAAGCAAAAGGAGCAGAATACAGTTTGTGTTGAGACAATGACAGACTAGTTGAACAATTAATTTAATAAACGCTCACCTTGTACAAAAGAGGGACATTAGATGCGATATCAAACATGATCACTCTTGGCTTGTTCTCCTCATGCCAACTATTTAAAAACTCGAGGTAGTTGCTATCGGTCACCTAAAAGAAAGGAAAAAGATTAAAAAAAAGAAACACACACATACAGAGAAAGGGAGATTATTAAATATGAATTATTAATATAATTATTATACTGTATTTTAACACTATACTACTATTTACTGTGTTTACTATGTTTTTAACATGCATGTACGTTTTTTAATGTAAACTTTACAGATGCTTTGGCAATACATTTGTAACATTTGTCATGCCAACAAAGCAATTATTGAATCGAGAGATAAAATCTAAGAAAAAAAGGAGGAAAGAAATTGACTAAATAGCATGAAGGAAAAAAAGGAAAGGAAATAAGATAAAAAGAAAAAGGTAACAAAAATCAAGAAGGAAAACAAACGGAAGAAAAAAGGGTGGGAAAAAAGGTGGATAATGGAAAAAAATTAAAGGAAAAGACTAATAGGGTATGAAGAATGCAAGGTAGGAAGGAAAATAGAGAGGGAGAAAAAAGATGTAAAAGAAGAGAAAAGAGATGAGATAAAGGGAAAGTAAAAGTAGTAAAGGGAAAGTGAAAGGTTAAAATATGGAAAAAGTAAAACAGATGAAAAATGACAGGAGATAAACGGAAGAAAATGGAAAAGGAAGGGGGAAAACAAAAAGGAAAGGAGGAAAGAAACTGAACAAATACAATGAAGGGAAAAACTGTAAGGAAAACACTCAAAGTAAAGAGAAAAAGGAAGGAAATGAAAAAAGGCAGCAAAAATCAAGAAGGAAAATTGGGACAAAGAGAACAAGCAGGAAAAAATGTAGGAAGGGATAGAAATAGAAGGAAGAGAATAATAGTATTTGAAGAAAATGGAAAAAGAAAAGGAGCAAAAAGGCATGACAAAAAGAAGAGACGGCAAAGTTATGGAAAGGGAGAAACAGATGAAAAATGACAAATGAGATGCAAGAATAGAAATGGAAAAGGAATGAGGAAAAAACAAAGAAAAAGAAAGAAGGAAAGAAATTTGAAAAAAAAAACACGTAGAGAAAAAAAAAAGAAAATAGAAAAGGAAAAGAAAAGGGCCACACTAATCAAGGAGGAAAAATTGGGACAAAGACGAAAGGGGAGGTGGAGGACAGGGAAATAAGAAGGAAGGGAATGACAAAATCTGAAGAAATGAGGGTAGGAATTCAAGGAAAAGGCAAAGAAAGAGTAAGAACAAAAGAAAACGAAACAAATAGGAAAAGGAAAGCAAAAGAAGTAAAGGAAATGGAAACTGGAAATTAAATGAAAGATGATAATGGGAAGATCCTATCAAAAGAGAAAAGAGCAAAGAAAATGAGGAAACAAAACAAGGGAGTGAAGAAAGAAAATAGAAGAATGGAAAAGAAGGAAAAGGAACAATAAAACGGATTAAAAAGCAAAGCAAATCAAAGGAACAGAAAGAAAAGTCTGAGAAAAACAAAAGGTACAAAGAGAACGTGTCCTCCTACCTTCTCTACTAGTCTCTGGGGCAGAAGGCTTTCCACAAACTGCCTCAAGTGTTCTCTGACCACAGAGTAGTGGAAGAAAGTGACTTTTCCATTGACTAAACCGAGAATGGATGGCGTGCGGTGAGCACCAAGATGGTTAGCCAGCTGTCTCTCATATCCAATGTCCACCACACCGATACCGACTCCTTCAAACCACAAACAGATATTATAAAGTTGTGTTCTCTCAATTCACTGAAAAACAATGACTAACTACTATGTACTACAACCGAACCGCTCTAGAGTTCATTTTAATCGAGCCATAATTCAGGCGGTGTAGACCAATTGTTTTAGCACAGATCAGACAGTGATTGCGGGTTTCACATATGCCCAAACGACAAGCTGAGGGGACAAACACGCCAAACAAATGTATGCACCGTAAATCACTTACCCAAGGGCTCCAGCTCCAGCACAGTGTCCTTCCATATGGGTTCGATGTGAATGCAGGTGAAGCACCACTCGGAGGTGATCTTGATCAGGTAGGGTCTCTTGAAGCTGTCCGGCAGCACCTCATTCATGTACTGGTTGTAGTGTAGGAGATGTTTGCTCTCGGTGAAGTCTCGACTCGTCCGAGGGAAGTGAAAGAACGATTCGTCGAAGTAGAAACTGTCATGATACTGTCTGAAGCCCTGCGGCGGCCGCGCAAAGTTTTGATTCTCATCCATTTGACCAAAACGATCATAGTTCGCCCTTCGCTCCTCATTTGATAAAATCTGTGTGAAATAAATCATGAATGCTTATTATTGAAGTTATTTTCAAACGCTTGAATGAGTGCAATTCTGAGTAATGTGGAAAACATGTAAAGTTGTAGAATCTGCTCATCTGAAATGAAAAACAAATAAAAAAAAACTCTCAAATTCCCTGTTTGGTTGCTTTGTCAGTTTATATTAACTCTTGAAAAAAAAACTACCTGCATTTACAGAAAACTCTACTGACTGGGCTAATTAATACTATAAAATATGCTAATACAATTTATGCCAATGACAGAATTTGTCACCCATAAATTATATTTACAGTGCTCAGAATAGTTGAGTACACCCCATTTTGAAAATGAATATTTCTATCCATATCTCAGTAAATTTAGGTCATGTATTTTGATGCATTTGAACAAAACAGATTTAACGGATCTTATTGATATATTATTATTATAATAATATATTATTGAAATAATATTTTAGTCACTGAATATTTTTAGAAATAAAAAGTTTAAACAGGTAAATTCATGCGAAATATCAGGAAAAAATTACAAACTACAAAATTTCAACAAAATTTTATACACTTTTTGTTTCTCTTGAATTTTAATCCTTTTAACATTTTTATTTTAATAAACATAAATTTAGGTGGACTCATTTTAGACCGTTATAATGAGTTATTTTGTCAAATTAGCTCCAGATTTGGCTTCAGTACTGACTAAACTAATGTATATGCACAAATATAATACTGAAAAGCTTCCTATAGAGAGAGAGAAAAAAAAAAAATATATAGCCCCCTTTGTTTTTTATTTTTTATTTTTTAATTTAAATTTTTTATATTTTCCAAATGATGCTTAACAGAGCAAGGAAATTTTCACAGTATGTCTGACAATATTTTTTTCTTCTGAAGAAAGTCTTATTTGTTTTATTTCAGCTAGAATAAAAGCAGTTAAATTTTTTTTATGAACCAATTTAAGGACAAAATTATTAGCCCCTTTAATCTATTTTTTTCCCCAGACTGTCTACAGAACAAACCATCATTATACAATAACTTGCCTAATTACCCTAACCTGCCTAGTTAACCTAATTAACCTAGTTTAGCCTTTAAATGTCACTTTAAGCTGTGTAGTATGTGTCTTGAAGGATATCTAGTCAAATATTATTTACTGTCATCATGGCAAAGATAAATTAAATCGGTTATTAAAAATGAGTTATTAAAACTATTATGATTAGAAAAGTGTTAAAAAAAATCTTCTCTTCATTAAACAGAAATTAGGGAAAAAATAAACAAGGGCTAATAATTCAGACTACAAATGTATATATATATCTATATAAATTAACATACAATTTGCCACCCATAAATAATTATAAAATAACATTATAACTTATATAAGTTTTTATGTGTAGGATTTCTGTAAAAAAAACACTGGTGTGTTTTGTAATTTTTTTTTTTTATTATTTCTATCTAGAAAAAAAAGCAGCCTACCTCATAAGATTTGGTGATCTTGATAAACATGTCTTCTGCACCTGGACTTTTGTTCTTGTCTGGATGCCTGTGGATAAAGCGTAAAAACAAATATTCATTTGTACATCATGATAAGAGACGTTTTTGCCATTTCTGCAGATCTATAAAATCAGTATTTTATGCAGAATGACTTTGAGAGTATAGAGGCTAAAAGCTTAAAAGTATAGTTCACGCAAAAATGAAAATTTACTCACTATTTACCCTCGAGTGCTTCCAAACTTTTATGAATTTCTTTATTCTGTTGAACACAGAAGATAATATCCTGAAAAAAGCTGAAAACCGGTAACCATTGACGTCTATGGTAGGAAAAACAAATACTTTAGAAGTCAATGGCTACAGGTTTCCAACATTCTTCAAACTACCTTCTTTTGTGTTTAACATAATGATAAGGGTTTAAAACTTGTAAACTTGACGACAGGATTTTTCTTTTTGGGTGAAGTGTCCCTTTAACAAATAAAATGACTTTATTTAATACAAGTTTATTATGCAAATCCAATTACAACCATTTTTTTTGTTAAAGCTACAGCAGGTCTCTCATATAATACATACAATAAATGACATTGACAATATTACTTTACAAATTATACTGTACACACATCACCTAAACATTCAAACTGAACAACACACTGAATGACAGGCTCAAAAACAGGTAGATTTCAGCCTTATTACTCACCATTCTCTTGCCAGTTTCTTGTACATTTTCTTGATTTCAGTGAGGCTTGCATGTTTAGACACTCCGAGAACACTGTACGGATCAAACTCGGGTGCAGATGCCAATGAATCACCAAACAGAGCAAGAAGAAGAATCGCCCAAGCACAGCAGCTCACAAAAACACTCCAGCCTCCCATCTTCTGATACATGAACTGCGACAGACTTCACAAACAGATGAGATTGGGGAAGTGTCACATTTATTCACTCCAGAAAATAACTGATTCTACTATAAATGCATCCTGAAAGTAGGGTGGTGAAATTTATCGATATTATCAAAATGTGCATATACCAATATATGGTTGGTAATAAATAAGTAATTAAACACAGAAGTATCTTTGAGTGCCTGCCTTAAGGCTGATTTACACTTCTGCGTCAAACGGCGACGTAAGCTACGGTGCTGATGCATAACCCTTCGCTGTGGCCGTCGGTGTCGCTGACGTGCACCTCTCAAAAAATGTAACTACACGTCGCAACGATGCGTAGCGCAAGCTCTGTGATTGGTCGGCTTGGTAGCGCTGACAAGTCTGGGCGGGACTGAGAGCCGCGCGAGTGCCGCTAGCCCAATGGAGCGATTGTTTACAAGTGTGGAGTCCTGTGAAGGAGCTGTGGATGGAAAGTTTTGTTTTGTGTTTACCTCATAGTTAAAGTTGTTGCACGTCCGCCGGTTCCTGCCTCAAAATGAGCGAGTTTGAGCCACTTCTACATCCCGGAAGTGTTCAGGAAAAGCAAAAAAAGCAGCGAAGAAACTCGACACAGAGGAACATTTACACATCACTGCCAACTAGCGTTTCGGAAGTGTTAATGCAGACCGACAGAGACAGTGCGCAGAAGTATAAATGCACAGCCACGCGCGTTGCATGCGCCGTGGGTTACGCCAGTCACTTGACGCAGAAGTATAAACCAGGCTTTAAGCACAACATCCTAAACACTTTTCAGCACATCAGGCATGGCAGTTACAGGTCACATCTCTGACACTAAGCAGAGTGGAGATGCTGGTTTCTGGACTAAATCAGTCTGTACTGATTTTAGTATGGATGATGAATTGAGACCAGGAAATTAAGCCATGCAAAGCAATCAAAGAGAAAGAAAAACTAAAACTAACAGTCAATCGACAGTATTAAGGAACCACAAGTGCTTTGTCTGTTTTTACAGATAGATTGCTACACATTTTTAACCAAAATACACTCAATATAATCACAGCAGGGTCCATCCATGAAAATGGAGGATGTTAAAGGGATATTTCACCCAAGAATTGAAAAACGATCTGTCATTATTTGCTCACACTGCACTTGTTCCAAACCCGCTTGAGTTTCTTTCCTCTGATACACACAAAAGAAGATACTTCAATGGATGCTGGAAACTGGTACTTCACTTCAATCTTATTTTTTTCCTACTATGGATGACAATTTCAACTTTCTTCAAGATATTGTCTTTTGTGTTCAACAGAAGATTTAAAGCTACAAGAAGGTTTTGGGGTAAACTATAATAATTAATAATAATAATAATAATTCCTTTACATTTATATAGCTCTATTCTCACTCAAAGCGATTTACACACATTGGGGAAATCTCCTCATCCACCACCAGTGTGCAGCATCCACCTGGATGACACAACAGCGGCCATTTTGCACCACCAGGAGCCATTAGGTTAGGAGGCAATGATGGACAGAGGCCAGTGGGCAGATTTGGCCAGGATGCCGGAGTTAAACCCCTACTCTTTTTTCGAAGGATTCCTGGGATTTTTAATGACCACAGAGAGTGGTCAGAGAGTCTCACTTATCAATATACTGGGGCATAAGGACCCACACAGACCGCAGGTTGGGCGCCCCCTGCTGGCCTCACTAACACCCCCTCCGGCAGCAACCTAGCTTTCCCATGTGGAAACTCCCATCCAGATTCAGCCCTGCTTAGCTTCAGTGGGCGACCATGTGAGAGTTGCAGAGAGATAGCTGCCGGCACTATCCCTTTACATCAAAAACTTTGAAGTCTTAGAAAAGCATTAAAAAATGTTGTAAACATGCTAAATCTTTAATCACAACAGTGGGTATTTACTATTGAGGTAAATTTGATTTTCTATTAATTTGGTAAAGCTTTTTATCATGTTGATCCCCCAAATTGAAATTTTCCATATGGACCATTTTGAGGGATGTAAACAATAACAAAGATCACTTCATGTTTTACATTTTTAATTTCTGAAGCTTCCGTGAATCCGAAAAGAGCCACATATTGATAAATAATATTATGACAGCGGTTTTAACATTAAGCTACGACTGAATTGACTCTTATTACAGTTATGAAATAGTATGATAACAAGCAGGAAATGTTCATGGGTCAACGAAATGACCTCATTGAATTGGTCTATATAACGTATGAATTTAAGATGATTAGCATTTTGGGGCTTTGCTACTGTACGTCACTACACGATTCTTGGCCCAAATATGTCTTACAAGTCTTGCTATAAATACTCCATGACATTTTAGCCGACGTATTGTATAAAAATTAATGACAGCCTTTGTTTTTTTGTTCGTGAAGAAGTAAAATTACAGGAAACATTAGCCTCCTTTAAGCCAATTAGACAATCAATAGCGTTTCTATAGGAACCAACAAACCCAATCGATTAATAAAGGTAAATCAGCTGCACGATGTGATTATAAGATAACTTCACTTCAGTTGCACAGGACAGAGACTATTTAAAGCAGACAAAGCACTGTCAGTGTCAAATAACACACATTTAAACTGATTTCCCGATTTGATGACTTAAACATCTGTGGAGTGAAGCGCGAGCTGCACGCCCTGCTGATGAGAGGTATGACGCTATCAATGCTATACTGTAAATATTTCATTAAACACAATACTGCTGAATAATGGTGATACCTTGACACGACTCTTGTTGTAATCGTATCTATCCAGAATTTAGCAACAATCCATGTTTTCCCGGTGGTAATAGATGGATCGTCCCCCAGGCTTTCGCTTCCCCGGTGCTTCCGGTAGTAAGGGCTTCTGGATAAACAAATTCTATGATAAAAGTCCTACACAATATTATGCATTTTCCATAATATGAATATTAGAATATACAAATTTAGAAAACATAAACAAAGTATTTCTACAAAATAATTTATCAATAAAGCCCTTACATTGATAATATTCTGAGTTTTCTCCTTTCATCTGGGTTATCACCATACAGTGTGTGCAAAAATCCCAAACAGTTATTAAATTAAAACAATCATTCATTCATTCATTCATTCATTCATTCATTCATTCATTTCCCCTCATATTAATCCCTTTATTCATGATTAAAATAATCTGTGTTGCGTTTTTAATAATGAAGCGAACATATCTGCTAAATAAAAATGGCTGTTTTGCTTGTACTTTATTTTAAAAGCAAACAAAAACGAAACAAACATCAATAAACGAAACAAAAAGCAAAGCATAAACTCTATGCAACAGAAATAATTATATAACACTAACTAGGAATTATTTATTACTTATTTTTGATATCGTATTGTTATTAATAAGTCACGTTGGATAAAAGTTTCCAATTAAAAGTGACATTTAAATATGTCAAATATTGTGTGTATATTGTGTGGTTTGCATTCTTTGTCTGTCTAATGGGGATATATTTAAATGTAATACACTAATCACAACAAAGGCATAGAAAAAGGTATTTAGACATTAGTAAAACATTGATTTTACCTGGTAAAACTTATCAGCAAAGCGTTCTCGAAATTTCATGATGTATCCACGCGTGGCAAAATCACATGACTTGTACGTCGTTTGTTCCGGTTTGTTCTTTTGAGGAGAAAAAATTGCAAGGTTTCTGAAAACATATTTTATAATTGCCAGTAAATGAAACAACTGCCCAATTTCAACATACGAACTGTAAGTCAGTCTGTGGGAAATGCACGCTTAACTGTTTACTTAACAGTTTTTGCCTGATTTAATTAGGACGAATCAACACCACATGAGGTTACCAAACAAGTCACCATTGGATGGCCCCGCACATTTACATAATTGGCGGGCTTTACAGTTCAGAGTAACTGAAATATGAAGCCACCGAGAGGTAGACGTTAAAGATGTCGCCCTTCATCCCCAAATGTTTCTGAAATCTGTGCAAACGCAGGCCTATACGTTTTACAGAGTGAAGGTGAGCAACAAAAATAATTTCTGTATCAATAAATTTATTATCAATTATTATTCTGTATCAATAAAATTCATTAATGATGTAGGGCTACATAATTGTGGATACAAGGTTAAGATTTTCATTGTAATTGACACTAAACCACTCTAAACACTGAGCTGAGTCCAATTCTCGAGAATCTATTTTGTGTTAGTTGGAATTAATGTCAATATTATGATTATTATGTGCACAGTTTTCGTTTGTTGCTGAATTATGTTATTTAGCCATATTTAAGACAAGACATGCACGTTTAAATATCCAAATGATGCATTATTTAATCAAATATGTCCTACTAGCACAGGAAAAAATAAATATTGGATGATCTAAAAGATATAGACAATCTATATCTAAACACGCAAATGCTCATGAGAAAGAGCTCTTGCGCTTTCGGCAAGTCATGTAAGTTCGTTTTTTTATCATAAGATTAATGTAGTTCATTAATAAACAGTTCACTATGAGCACTCTTGCTATTTACTTATTTGTAAACTTTACCCATCTTATTTAATAATTTATTTAGGTTCTAGTGGTATTTGTAAGTGTTTGATACAAGCAGAGCACATGTGTTTGTAGAGCATACATCGCCATCTGCTGTTAAAAACCAAGCTCAGGATTGATTTCTCAGTATTTTCTTTATATCATTTTGATGTTTCAAATGGTTCAGAGTTTTGTAAAGGTTTGTTTTCCCCATCAGGTGCATTAACATGTGCCACTGGCATAGTAACAACACAAAGCTGTTTCACATTTCTTTTTTTTATTGAAATACAAACCATACAGTGTCTTTCTCAGAGAAGAGAGAGTAAAGAAACTTGGCTGGTATGTGTATTGAAAATATATGTGTATTAAAAACAAGTACTAAGACTGTCAATTATTTCTGTTTTGCTGTATGTTGAAGAATTGCGATCTCATAATACTTGTTTCTAATATGACTTGAGATGACTTGTTCTCAAATTGTCTTGAATAGACCAGAGACGATGTAGTCTGTAAGAACTCCATCAAGCAGTCCAGTGCCATTATTATGAATGAACCAACAGGGCACTTGTTCTCCATTTTTCACATCCTGTCTAAAATCTCTCTGGAAACCCCTGTTGACACAGAATAATAGTATGGTAACATCAAATCCTTCATGTTAAGTGCAAAGGTGAATCGTAGGTTCCTAAATGTACCTGGTAACTACAAGCTCTTGTCCTTTCACTGACATGATGGCATCTACTTTGTTTGGATCCTTTCCTGGAAATGGTTCACCCACTTTAAATTCCAGTCCATGGTAGAACTGACCTAAAGAAATGTGAACACATGAGAGCAGTAAGAGTATGTGCTGCTCAATGATTTACAGTATTAACGGATAGGAAGTTGAACAAGATTTACTCTATTTTTTGCATATTAAATTTTTAAACAAGATTACAGTATAATTCTTTATATAAGTGGTTTAGGATTAAATATAAACACTAAATTACTTGAATACTTAGTTGTATGCATGATGTAAAAATTGTTAATGTTAAAATTTTAGGCTGAAGAAAAGTGCTTATTAATCTAATGTACAGGAGATGAAAATTATAAACCTTCCTGTGATTTTCTCTTTCAAATATTTCGCAAGTGATGTTGAACGGAGCAAGGAATTTTCCACAGTATTTCCTAAAATATTTTTTAATATAATAAGTAAATAATAAGTTTTATTTGTTTTATATCTGCTAGAATAACATTTTTTAAAATACATTTTAAGGTCTAAATTTATTTTCAATTGTCTGCAGAACAAGCCATCATTATACAATGACTAGCCTAATTATCTTAACCTGCCTAAATTAACCTAGTTAAGGCTTTAAATTGCACTTTAAGCTGAGTATCTTGAAAAATATCTAGTAAAATATTATATAAATTTTTTTTATTGTATGTAACTATTTAAAATTACGATAATATTAGTGATACTAAAATAACAATGTATATAAAGTAATACGTTACATGTATTGTTGTACTTTTTTTTTTTTTAGCTTACCAAGCAGGCCATGGACATTGCTTGAAAAGAGGTGACTGTCCAAGGTGTAGAATCCAAGATAGTCTTGATGATACGGATGCCTCTCCCAGACTTTGTGCAGGATGATAAGAAATTTGACAGAATTTCTCAAAGTCACTGTTAAACTACGATCTTTGTTCACCTGCAGATCCATGCTGGAAAAAAGAAGAACAGCGGAGTCTTTGTACAACTTCTTTTAAAAGGTACACATTTCATTTAGATCACAATGTGTTTACATGGACAGTTTGTTGTATTGTAATAAAAGTAATTTTTTTTTGTTGGGGAAGAAATGCAATATGTCATCCCACCAATCTTTGATTCAGAAGTTATATACAGATGCTTTGTTTTGGTCTAGGAAGAGGCATTTGGATTAATCAAGTTTGTGTAAATGCAGTTTTAAAGGAGACCTGTTATGCACCTTTTTACAAAATGTAAAATAGGTTTTTGATGATTCCTGAGTGCAAGTGTGCAGTTTCAGCTTAAAATACTATAGATATGGAGCCCTATCATACACCCGGCGCAAGACGTTTTGACTTGATTTGTTGCTATTTTCAGACCAGTGCAACTGTAATATTCACATTTTGCACCACGTTGTTTAAATGGCAAATAAATTTGCGCCACTTTGTGGACATATGGGTGTGCTGGTCTAAAAAGGAGGTATTGTTAAGGCGCATTGTTGGTGCTTTGCTAGAAATAGTTTTAAAACAAATGCGCTTAACAAATGAAATTAAATTTGTAGACTGTTGGATGTCTTCAGTGGAGTGAGTTTCCACCATTTCCTTACTCCACCAAAGTAAAGGAGTAAAAGTAAAGAGAAGGTAAAGAGCCCAAATGGAGGAGGCTCGTTCCTTTTCCTCGCGCTGCAGATGGTCTTTAACTGTTTTTTCGCCAGTGAAGCGTTAAGTTTTTACACTTACAAAGTTCCCCATGTAAAAGGCAAATGTGCCATGGTGTGATGTAACTGACTTTTAAAGGGAATGGGAAATAAATACTGGTTGGTTTAATAAAAGATTGGTTTAATGCATGTTATGCTCAAAACACACTTATAACTCGTTAAGAGAATAAGTAAAATCCACAAGCCAGGGCACACATCATATTTTTCTATCCTTAAAATAGCAAAAGTGGATTCAGACATGCTCTTAATGCCTTTGTGCCATGCACTTAAGACTTTGTGTCTAGTTTGTTAAAATAGAGCCCATAATGTTTCATAGCTCTTTGAAACTGACCCTTTTAGGCTTTCATCATAGTTGTGCCATTTTGGTGACTGTCACTTTAAATTCTAATGAGATTGCTCTCTCATCTCTCTTTTCAAAAGAAATTTTGTTGCATCAAAAGCAAAAGATTTCCATGTAAACCTTGATACTCATTTAAATGAATAAGTGCAAATCTTACTTGGGCCCTTTAACCGTAGCAGCTTCAGCCCAGAACAGTTTTACATGTTTTCCTTTCTCGATTACTGAGATTTCCTTTGTGCTCACAGTCATTCTGACATCAAACTTCTCATGGATGATCCCAAAGCGCCCAAAATAGGTGTTTACCTTTTTCCCTGGAACGACTTTCTTATCACCAATGGTTTGGCCATTGACCACAATACCTGTGGAGGATCAAGAAACCAAACGAAAGGCCTAAAACATTTAGAAATGGTACTTTTTTCAGTATTAATATACTTTTGCATGATCCTGCAGAAGGGTCAGTGGTGAATTTATTGATTGAATGGTTTAATCATGGCCCATTTACTATCTAAAAAACAATATTTTAGCAAAATACATATTTAATTGTGGTTCTCCTATGTTAAAGCACCTGCCTGTTTGGTGAGTATGCATGTGACAG